GAGACTCCGCGAGGAACATGACCGAGAGAGACGGAGACTCCGCGAGGAACATGACCGAGAGAGACGGAGACTCCGCGAGGAACGCAAACGGGAGCTGATAAAAGAGCGTGGGGCTTCGTATCCTGCAGACCAATTTATCGACCAAAAGATTGAAGAGATGAAACGGATCGAAGAAGCAAGTCGAAATCAAGCAGACAGTGTTCCGATAGGGAGGAGCTTCGACCACCTTGCGTGGGAGAACGTCAAGGCGCGCTGGGTGGAGCAGGGCATCTGGAACGAGAAGTGGACAGACTTATACAGCATGGTGAGGTGGAAGCACGAAGAACCACTCGAGCTCGATTCTGAATCAGAGGACGATTCGGCAGCCGAGGGCGAGCCTCGGCGACTTTTACGAGAGCGCGAACGCGAAGCGTCACGCCCTTTTCATCAGTTCGTCTATCAAGTGTCAAAAGAACGCGAACGAATTCAAGACGAGATGAATTCTCCAACCCCGCGGCTCATAGATCTTAATCGGACGTGCCGCAGCACAGCTGATTATTACCTTCATGTCTGGACACCGAAGAGACGTCCCCTGGGCGATCAAAATGACGGAAGAGTCACTGACGAGTCTCCTCACGACATTAATATGGCGGCCTATGTGAGGGTGAAGGATACCTGGACAAAAAGGGGAATATGGAACGAAAAATGGGATATTCTGCCTGGGATGTCCTGGAAGCATGAACAGCCGGTTCAGGAGATGCTTAACGAAGAGGTGGGTTTTGATTTTGACGCTTATTGGGCGCCCGCGCCCGGCTGCCATAGGAATGAAGGGGAACCTCCCCAGTCGATATTCAGGGCCGATCTACCTGCCGAGCGGAACGATGCCCTTGTTCAAGCAAACCCGCCCAGCGATAATAGGCAAAGAACAGAACAAGCGCCTCCCCGGCCATTATTTGGGACCCATCGACCTGCCGAGCGGAATAATACCCTTTTTCAAGCAAACCCGCCCAGCGACAATAGATTTGATCCAACGCAACAACCACCTCACCGGTTTTTATTTGGGACCCATATACCTGCCGGGTCGAACAACCAAGTGTCCAGTATCCAGAACGCGTCTCAGCAAGCAGAACCACCGACGGACACTGTTCCAGGGGTGCTTGAGAGCCACGGCTATGGAACCGGGGGTGCACCTTCGAGTCCAATGCCGGGTACCTACCCAAACTCGTCTGTGCAGGACCCAACCACGAACTCTGCACCGCTACGAAGGAGCAGACGCTTGCAGGAGGTCGCACACAATGGTGTCTTCCGATCAAGGCCCAGGTAGATCAGTGCTGGTCCAAGGCCTTCACGTCAAGCAAGACCTCGGGGAGTATCCGGAAGACGTCCAAGTACAGCTAGGCGTATGGTGAGATAGGATGGCTTCTTTTTGTAGAATGTTCGGTTTCTGCTGGGTTTGGCATATACCATATTCCCTTACCCGAGGTGTATATCGTATCGACCCTGTGGATGGAAAAGAGACAATTAGTTGATGTTTTTTTGCGAGAAAGGATAGGGGAACCGCTGTTAGTAGGCACACGAGACTTCACATAGGAATCAAAATTCGATATTGGTGTTGCCATCTCGAGAGAAATAACATAACACAAGTGATCTGTTTACTACCAAGGGAGTGACTGACTATAGAAAACGAACGAAATACGAATAAACACCAAGAGACCGCCAGACGTGCGAACAGTGGTGTTTGAGACTGGCTCTCACTCTTGAATTGTTCATGGCGGTGAACAATATTTTTCTTCTCGGAGCGGTGGGCGCATTCTGATTCAAGTCTGCCATGGGTATGAAGATTGTGGTCAGCGGCCGGTAGCACAAGTGATTGACCAAGCATTGTATGAGACGGTGCTGACTTACAAAAAGAAACAATAGGAGAGAAATAAGAAACGGTCGGCATATTGGCAACTCCTAAGACAGATCTGCCAGGTAAAGCTCCGGCGGGAAGTTAGACATATCTAATGTCCTGACTGGAGACCGACTTGGATCATCCCTAGAGACTCCTAGTTGAGGTAGGTCCCCCAGAGCTTCAAGCGGAAACACCCAGAAGCCAATGGCGAGCTTCGGCAAGCGTTCTGGGTTCTCCACGAGATCGAGCGTTGCAGTATCGGCTAGACGTTCCACCAGGTCTGGATACTCTGGTTGGGTTGCCAGACGTAAGCTGATGTGGCTGCTTACAAATTTCGCGGCGGTGGCTCTGTCGACGATGCCTGTTGATCCCGTGGCAGTTTGGAAGATTGACCGGAACATTTGTCCTACGCCCCGTTCACTGTGAAATTCAGTCGTCATTTTGATGACGGGGGCATCGTAAACGTTTGCGCGGTTGCTGAACTGCGAGATCAGGAAATGATACTCGACTCCCCCATCTTGGTGCGGGCAGCCCCAGTCTGCCAAGAGCTTGAACCAGTTATACACGTATTGTCTCGGCATGATGCATCCTGGAAAGACGTATTGCAAATCCGCCGAGATGGGACGGGGATCGCGGGGAAGTCGAGTAAACCCAGAGTTGGACCCGAGGAGCGGGCGGGAGCGAGAGAACTGCCAAGGAGCCATGGGCGTGGCGGCTGGGTCAAATGGCAAGCACAGACGCTCGTTTTGCTCGAGGCAGACGAAGAAGATGTGCCTAACGTTGGAGAAGGCCCGGGCGAAGAGGTCACGACATTCGGGATCGTCCACCGCCATGTCTTCCGAGATAAGTTGTCGGGCGGAGTCTGTTGGAAGTGCAATCTTCTCCAGCCCAATGCGCTGGGGATCACGTCTTTGGGTATCCAGAAGGAAGTCCACAATACACGGCTTTCGGACGTTGGGACGGGGTACTGATGGCCCGGCGTGAGGTGGCAGAAAGCCTAGGCGCAGGATATCTCTCTCTGGGTTGACATAGAGAAAGCCCACGCTCCGAGTTTTGCCACACCACTCATGTCGACATGGAATGTGCACTCGGTAGAAGGCCAGGGCAGCGTGCCTCGCGTCTCTGTTGACACGAAGAAGTTTGCTGTGGATGTTGCGTCCCTGGACATTGACAATGTAGAGGTTTCCGCTGATGCGGTCCTTGGGTCCAACGAGCTGGTCATCTCGTTCAAGCCAGAGTTGAAAGAATCGTTCGCGGAGCAGGGACAGCTTGAAGATGTGGACACGAATTTCGACAGGAAACTTTGCGAACTGAGGGAAATCTTGCTCAGAGCCATGGCCTAGAACCGGGTTGAAGAGTTGTACTTGCTCAGGGAGAGAAGACATGGTCGGTCAAGTTGATCAATGTAGAAGCGCAGAAGAGTAAGTTTGAAGTAAATGAGGGGTAAAATGATGGGCAGTTTCGGGAGCACTCTATTGATATAAGGATGTCTTGCTGTTGGATCGGCGCCTGGTGCTCTGATGTGCCCTATGTCACATCGACTAACACGTTGGTCGGGGGCCAAGAGGTCGAGCCAGAGAAGCTCAATTCAATCGTCCAGTGCTTGGTTTGAATGCCGTGATAGGCAGCGACGCTGGGGAAATCAGTTCAAGGCGATGTGAGGACCAAAGGCAAGGCAATAATGCAGCCGGTAGATAGTTCAGGGCTGCACCACAAGCTGAGAAACAGAAGGCAGGAAAAAGAAAGTTTGTTTCAAATCAGCTCCTCCACAAGGCTCGGTAGGGACGCCGGCGGTCTGCCTCGACGTAGGTGCCAACTAGTCTGCCTGTCCCGTCTTCTTGGAAACGACTCTAGCGGGCCAGGTGCTTGCAGGCTGGAGGAATGCGTGTCCTTGGGCGAGCCGTATTGACCGTCACCGACTCGACCGACAGCGAGCATTCATGTCCTCATGTGTGTCAGCCACCAGCATCACCCCGCGTTAGTCCTGACCACCTTGTCTTGCGCCGCTTCAGCTTGAAAATTTTCCCCTCTCCGGGCCAATCCCAGGGCACGGTTATTGCACATCTTGCTATTGTTTCTGATGCCGATGCGAGGGAAAAGTGACCAGTGTGCGCTGGCTGCATTGCCTCCCCGCCGCTGAGCAGGCAGCACACACCAACGTAAGGGCCATGGTTTTCGAGTAGCCAGAGGCCAAGATATGCCGTTCGGGTGGTTGAAAGGGGTAGCAAGTTGGTGTTTGAGCGATGCGATTAATTTTGACAAGGTCGCAGACGTATGCCAATTGACACTCTCTGGTGCGTGGATGGAAGCAGCTCCGTGTGGCAGGCGTTATGCACTTCACAACTCCCTGCATCCACAATAGGTGGGGCAGCTTCGGCAGCTCTCGATTGTTTCGGCAAGGACAGAGTTTCCTGCATTTTGAGTGGTTGATGCTGTGGTTCATGTGGATCACGTAATGCTACTTACCCTACATCCACAACTGGTACTGGCTTGCTCGCTTCGGGCACTTCTTGATTGCTGCGGCGAGGACAGAGTTTCCTGCATTTTAAGTGGTTGATACAGTGGGTCACGCATCACCACCTACCCTACACCTACAACTCGTGCTGATCGGGTAACTCTCGATTTTTTCGGCGGAGAGAGAGTTTCTTGTGTGTAAGAGAAAGAAGACAAATTTTAACAACAATGAAGCTGCCAGGGCCCGGACAACTCAACGCAATGAGAGAGTTTCTTGTATTTTAAATGGTTGGTGCTGAGCCATTTGAGTCGTAAATTACCACCTACCCTATACCACAACTGGCTTCGGGTATCTCATCGATTGCTTCGGCGAGCGAGAAAGTTTCCTGCATTTTAAGAGGCTGGTGATATGGTTTCTATGGGTCGCAATCTCACCTACCCCACATTCACAACTGGTTCTGGCCAAGTGGGCGGTGCGAGAAGTGATACATCTGAGCACTGTTCTGGATCCAGTGCTTGAGAACCTACGACTTTGCTACCTTAATTACCAGCCTCAATAAGAGGAAAATATACTTAAAAAAAGACCCTATAGTAAATTCTTGATCAAACAATATATCTGCCTGTTTATCTTCTCTTTTCCCTCCATATTGAGCCTTTATTTATGAAGCTGAGCAAGCTACCTTTTTTTTACTGCCTCATTTCTAATTTCACCACTCTACTGGCTTCGGGTACCTCTCGATTGCGTTTGGCGGGAGATGGTTTCGATTTCGACTATTTTAAGTGGTTGGTGTTGTGGGTCATACGGGTCGCACATGCAGATCAAGCGTGTCCCTCCTGCCGATGGGTAAAGGGCTCTGGACAGTGGACGCAGTGGTTTTATGACAGGTTAAAAGTGCTTCCTGTTGTCACAACAGAAGGCAGAAATCAGGAAAAGAAAAAACTTAGCAGGCAGCCTAAGATTAGATCAAACTCTTTGTAATTTCCGCTAGCCGTGATCTCCCCTTTAGGAGTGGCACATTGTTTCCTGGACTCGCCTGGCCTGGCTTGTAATGATGCGGCTGTAGGGTAGGCACCTACCTTGGACGGGAGAACATTGAGGGGCGGATTAAGGGAGCCGGAGCCTGTTTGCTGCCCCGCTCCTGCCCCATTAGCACCCTTGGCACAATTCGACCAGTGCTTTCTGTTTTGGGCCATTAATTTGCACGTGAGTCCGCGATCCGGAATGAATCCACACCACCGTGTAAGTTGACCGGACGCGCATCATTCACGAACCAGCTCCCAGCATCCCAACAAGGACAAACCAAGTTCTCGTCTATCGCCTCGTCTCGTGCAATTCAATGGACCTGGCCTCCAAGCATGGACCTTTTCCGGGTCAGGCTGAATTGCATCGATCACTATCAGGCAACCCCGACGCGTTATGATCCGCAGCTGCGCAACGATGTCCGCCCGTTCAACATCTCCAAGCAGCCAAAGGTCCCCGTCATCAGGGTCTTTGGCTCGACCGAGACCGGCCAAAAGGTCTGCGCGCACATCCACGGCGCATTCCCCTACCTCTACATCGAGTACGATGGCCATTTGGCACAAGACTCCGGTAGGCTTTCCGTGTTTCCCCTCCCTTGCCCCTCGGTGTAAGTTGTGCTGACTGACACCATTCAACAACACAGTCGGCGCATACATCTACCGCCTGCACCTCGCCATCGACCAAGCCCTCGCCGTGAGCTACCGCCGCGATCAGTTCGATAACAATGCGCGATACGTGGCCAGGATTACCCTCGTCAAGGGCGTGCCGTTTTACGGCTTCCACGTCGGGTACAAATTCTATCTCAAGATCTACATGTTCAACCCCGTCGTCATGACCAGGTTGACCGACCTCCTCCAGCAGGGTGCCATCATGAAGCGGCCCTTTCAACCTTACGAAGCCCACCTCCAGTACCTACTCCAATTCATGACCGACTATAACCTCTACGGCTGCGAGTTCATCGACGCATCGAATACCAAGTTCCGCGCCCCCGTCCCAGACCCAATTGGCGACTTTCCCTCGTCGCACCTGTGGCATAGCCAATCCGTCCCGAGCCAAAATGTTACAAACGAGTCCGAGCTGCCGCGCGTGAGCCATTGCTCCATCGAAGTCGATATATGCGTCCAAGACATTACAAACCGCCAGAGGGTCGATGAGAGGCAACTACACCATGATTTCGTCGAACGTAAACACCCCATAGACCCTGATCAGAAGCTGGTCTTCAGCATGGCTGGTCTATGGAGGGACGAAGTCAAGCGCAGAAAGGGGCGGATGGCCCCCTCCTCGGAGCCGGGAACCAGCCCTCTGCCCTACGAGACTCTCGTTTCAATGTCAGCGGAATCTCGCGCGTCGCAACCCGACCCGTGGCTCCAAGAAACAGAACTCCGTGAGGCCATCCACGAGCTGGTTGGCGAAGAGCTGGATTCGAATTGCAAGCCTCTGGAGTTTGATTCCTTTGTGACCAAGTCCCCATTTGAGGATTCCGTCAAGACAGCTCTGCAATCCGTCGAGGACCTCCACCCCGAAGTACTTTTGCCAGCTCTGGGCCTTGCCCCCGAGCCAAAGACTGCCCAGCAAGATCAGCAGCCGGGCAAGCCAAGCGAGAAAGACGAGCAAGACGAATTCAACTTTCCATACGACTCGGACGAAGACGTATTCCAGGCGATATTCGAACGAGAGCAGGCCAAGGCTAAGGGCCTATCTGCTCACAATACCGATACAATGGGTGAGGAGGATGCTGGCCATGTTTCAGAAGAGTTGTTTGTTCCCCAGGAACCTCCGCCTTCTGCTCAGCCTGTGACGAACCCGGATGGATCTTTCAACTTGACCGACTTTGATGATTGGACGCCAATCTCTCTACCCCCCTCTCAAGAAGCATCTCGGAAGTCTCAAGAAGCGTCTCAGAGAGCATCCCAATCGCGGAAACGGCCCTTGGTAGACTCGTCTCCAATCTCACATACGAAGCGGGTAAAACTTGGATCGCTAGCGGAGAGCAGCGCATTCCACAACGAGCCACCGCCAGGGGGTCAACCCCAGCTCAATAGCTCGCAACTCTGGCCGTCATCAAGTCCCGCTGGCTCACAAGGAACCCGGCCATCGTTCATGTCGAGGATTCAGGGCAGTGCCGAACAGACAATCAACTTCCCCATTGTAAAGAACGTCTCCCATTCTCGAGCGAAGCCCGGCCTTCATCTTCCGAACCAGCCAAGCCGCGGGTCGGTGCCTGAGCTATCGCAATGGGATGCGCCCGAGCCGTCCAGTCCCAGTTCTGAAGCTTCCTTTGATCAGGGGCTCTCGACACCCCGCGCCGCGATTCTCTCGTCTCAGGATGATTCTCCACAAGATGATGTCTCGCTGGACGATGCTTCTCTGGATGGTAATTTTCTGGTTGATGGTTCTCTGAACGTTGGCTCTCTGGACGATAATTCTCTGGATGATGGTTCTCTAAACGTTGGTTCTCTGGACGATAATTCTCTGGATGATGGTTCTCTGGACAATGGTTCCCTGGTCGATGCTTCTCTGGATGATGCTTCGCTGGACGATGCTTCTGAGGAGATGTCTTCCCAGGATGACGATTCTCAGGAAGAAGATTCTCAAGACGATAATTCTCAAGACGAAGATTCTCAAGACGATAATTCTCAGGATGGTGATCCCCAGGATGATTCCTTCCAGGAGGGCTTGGACGAGTTCTATGACGAGCTGGATAGTGACCAAGACCTCTTGTTAGACCTCTCGTTGGACCTCTCCTTTGACCAAGGCCTCTCGACACCCCGTCCAGTACTTTCGTCTTCTGAAGATGACTTGGAACGCTTTTGTGAAGAGCTAGATGGTGATGACCCAACGACGCAAACCCTCGTGTATGGGATCCCTCCACCAGGTCCCAGTGAACCCTTGTCGTCTCAGCAGGAAGATGATGTACCGACGGTAATCTACCAGGAACCATTTTACAGCAAGGAGAAGGATGTTCCTACGAGAATGCGAGAGTATGCTGGTCGGGAATTCCGTCTACGAGGCAACACCTTGCCCTACCTGCCTGACTTTGATCCCACAGGCGGCGTTTCCTCCACCACTCGTGGCCAGAAGTCCCCATACCCTCCCAATAGCGCTACGAAGGAGCCCTGCACACTCCTCAGCTGGGACTTTGCCAAATTGCCCCCTTCATACGAGGAAGTGGAGACTTGGTGGTCACAGAAGCAGGAAAAGCAACAAGAACAGTCTTTCAAGAATTCATTCGAGTCGACTCCAACACATTTCCTCTCGCAGATTGAAGGACCGACTCCTGACAATAAACATGGCTTCAAGTACTCCCCGAAGGCCAGATCGGACAACGCGAAGCTCGAGGGGTCCTACATGAGCACCATGAGTCTGGAGATTCACGTCAACACCCGTGGGAAGCTCGTCCCTAACCCTGAAGAGGACGAGGTTCAGTGTATATTCTGGTCGTTCAAGTCGGACGACCCTGCCAACAGCTCTCAGGACTATCTCCAAGCCGGACAGTCTGGCGTGGTCGTTCTCAGTGAGGACGGCGTCCTAGCACGACGCATGCAGAAGCTAGACTTGGGGGAAGTGCATGGCGAGACGTCCGAGCTTGATGTCTTTGTCCGGATGGTGGAGATTGTCCGTTTTCACGACCCGGATGTACTCACTGGCTTCGAGGTCCATGCGAGCTCTTGGGGGTTCCTGATCGAGAGAGCCCGGCTCATGTATGACTTCAACCTGTGCGACCAGTTCTCTCGCATGAAGTGCGATTCCCATGGGAGGTTTGGCAAGGAGAGCGATCGCTGGGGCTTCAACACCACCTCGACCATCCGCGTTACCGGAAGACACATGATCAACATCTGGCGGGCAATGCGGGGGGAGCTCAACCTTTTGCAGTATACCATGGAGAACATCGCGTGGCACCTGCTGCACCGTCGAGTGCCCCATTACCCCTGGGAGGTCCTGACCAGGTGGTACCGCAGCCACAACATCGCTCAGGTAATTCGGGTGTTGAGGTACTATCAGGCACGCACCAGGACTGACCTGGACATCCTGGAGGCCAACGAGCTCGTCTCGAGAACCAGCGAGCAGGCCAGGGTCCTCGGCGTGGACTTCTTCTCCGTCTTCTCACGCGGCTCGCAGTTCAAGGTCGAGTCCATCATGTTCCGGATCGCCAAGCCGGAGAACTTCATGCTCGTCTCGCCGAGCCGCAAGCAGGTCGGCGGCCAGAACGCGCTCGAGTGTCTCCCGCTGGTCATGGAGCCGCAGAGCGCCTTCTACAACAGCCCTCTGCTTGTTCTCGACTTCCAGAGTCTGTACCCCAGCGTCATGATCGCCTACAACTACTGCTACTCGACCTTCCTCGGACGCGTGACAGACTGGCGAGGGATGAATAAGATGGGATTCACGGAGTACAGACGGGAGCAGGGTCTGCTTGGGCTCCTGGAAGACGACATCAACATCTCGCCCAACGGCATGATGTACGTCAAGCCTGAGATTCGCAAGTCGCTCCTGGCCAAGATGCTTAAGGAGATTCTCGAGACCAGAGTCATGGTGAAGAGCAGCATGAAGAAGGACAAGGAGGACAAGGCGCTGCAGCGTCTGCTGAACAATCGTCAACTTGCGTTGAAGCTCCTTGCGAACGTCACCTACGGCTACACGTCAGCGTCGTTCTCAGGCAGGATGCCGTGTTCCGAAATTGCGGATAGCATAGTTCAAACTGGGCGCGAGACTCTCGAAAGGGCAGTCGCTCACATACACTCTATTGAGAAATGGGCTGCACATGTTGTGTACGGCGACACCGACAGCATATTCGTCTACCTCCCCGGCCGATCCAAGGACGAGGCGTTTGACATTGGTAACGAGATTGCCGATGCTATCACTAATATGAACCCGCGCCCTATCAAGCTCAAGTTCGAGAAGGTTTACCTCCCCTGCGTGCTCCTGGCCAAGAAGCGCTACGTTGGCTACAAGTACGAGAGCCGGGACCAAGTCAAGCCCGACTTTGACGCGAAGGGCATCGAGACAGTCCGTCGCGACGGCACGCCCGCCGAGCAGAAGATCGAGGAGAAGGCGCTTCGGATGCTGTTTGAGTCGGCAGATCTGAGCCGCATCAAGTCGTACTTCCGCGAGCAGTGCCGCAAAATCATCCGCGGCCACGTCTCTATCCAGGATTTCTGCTTCGCCAAGGAGGTGCGCCTCGGGACGTATTCGGAGAAAGGAACGGCGCCCGCTGGTGCTTTGATTAGCTCGAAACGCATGCTCGCCGATGCCCGTGCTGAACCGCAGTATGGTGAGAGAGTCCCCTATGTTGTTGTCAGCGGTGCGCCGGGTGCTCGGCTCGTGGACCGGAGCGTTGCGCCGGAGGACCTGCTCGCGAACCCGCACTGGCGGCTGGACGCGCAGTACTACATCACCAAGAACATCATCCCGCCGCTGGAGCGCATCTTCAACCTGGTCGGGGCGAGCGTGCGGCAGTGGTACGACGAGATGCCCAAGGTCAAGCACCACAACAGCCACATGTTCGCGGCGCAGCGCGGGGGCCGCAAGACGACGCTCGAGGCGTACTTCCAGTCGATGCACTGCGTGGTGTGCTCGCGCAAGTTCAAGAACTACCAGAACAGCACGGTGTGCCGGCGGTGCATGGGGAAGAGGAGGGCGCCGGTGGCATTGTACGCGCTGCAGACGAGGCTGGCGCACGAGGAGAAGCGGTACCGTGAGGTCATGACGCAGTGCCGGCAGTGCGAGGGGGGCCGGGGCGTGCTGGGGGACGTGCAGTGCGACAGCAAGGACTGCCCGGTGTTTTGGAGCCGGGTGAAGCAGGTCGGGCGGCTGGAGTCGATGCGGGCGTGCACGGAGCCGGCGATGCAGAGCCTGATCCACGGGATCGAGCGACGGGCGTTGGAGTGGTAATTGGTCTTTGGAGTTATTGTGTTTTTGGAAAAGGATGGGTTTGGGCTGGTTGCATTGCATGAGATAAAGTGGTTGCATGGTGTCCTATGAGCATGACTTGTATGAGTGGGATCCGGATAGAGAAGCAAAGCAATGACATGTGATTATGGGCTGGCCTTTGTTCGCCAATGGGCTGCGTGAGAAAACAAGTTGGCATGGGTTTGAACCGTGTGGGAGTGAATGGAAATGGAGACTGCAACTCCAACAGCGTTTCGTTGAGGAAGGCACGTCGAGGTGTGCTCGGCTTTGCCTACACCTGATTGGCTGAACATCTGGACAAAGGTGGGCCCAACCTCGAGTGATCCCTGCGACTACCTACTAGAAATGGAAATGGCGACGGCAAAGCACCTGCCCACTGGCCTCGTTTAACGGGAGGCCAAGTCTAGGTACTTAGTTATGCCACCTCGTTGCACCTCGACCAGGCAAGTAGCTTTCAAACGGTTCAACCAACAGCATGCCAGGTGAGCTGCAGCTATCGCAACTACCCCCCTCCTGTAATTTCCTTTCTAGTTTGAAAGGCGGCTGCTTTCTAATTGCATAGATTACTGTCCTAGCTAGCTGCTGCTGTAATCTGACATCCCTGTCTGCTGCTGCGACAAGCGATTGCTACGAACCTGACCTGGCTGTCTGTTGCTATTGCAATTGATTTTCAATTCTACTAGCCGTAGCCGTAGCCGTTACCTATCTAGTAGCTAAGAAGAATCTGTAACAGCCCTGGCAGCGTGTGTCCAATCTTCGCTCAACAATACATACGTGACTACCTACATTGAACGCGGCACCGAACGAGGTTGTGACGGGACTCCGTCCGCAGACTCCGTTGACAATACGCGAGAACCTGGAGGGCCTACCATCCTGCTCTGGCCAATATTACCGCATACTTCGAAAGCGCAGGATACATGACAGCGCCTGAAGGACTTGGTGTGGTAGTGGGAGGCTACCTTTGGTTACATCGGGGTTGCATGATGCTGGGTCAAACGCAAATTCGGGCAACATCGGGTTGGGCCTTTCAAGATAGGTACTGCATAAGGTCAACCCACGGGCTTATGAGCTGAAGCTCCGATGGCATTGGAAGATACGCCCGGTGCGCTACGGTAGTTGCAGTCTCGAAATCTCCAGGCGCATTGATACCCGATGCCTCCCTGCTACCCCTCAACCCCTCAACCCCTCAACCCTCTATACTAGGGAGGCCTGCAAGAGATGCCTGTCAGTGGGCACTTGGTGGATTCGCGGGGCGTCCCGTTGGATCGTTGATAGCGTGGTCCACTGTGATCAGTGACCACCCCGCATACTCTGTTACCGGTAGTTGATGGTAAGCCCATACTCGACCATCTGTGTGCAAACATCCAGCACCATTGCTTCTGTGACTTCGAATTTCCCAGAATTTGTCTACGTCTCTAAATTGTTTTTCTGATTCTTCTCCGCGATACATCAACACAATGTCAAACAAGGTGTCAATCGTGCCGGGAGAATACAGAGTGATGCCTCGTGGCGGCGATGTAGATATGCACTGCTTCATCCCAGCCAAGAGAACGGACCGGCGCCGCTTCCCACCAGCATTCTGGGACAACCTCTCCCAAGTCCATCTTACACCACGCGCCCTGAAAGAGCACGACCGCCGAAACAAGACGCATGCTTCATCCAAGCGCAAGGCCCCCGGCGATTCCTTTCACAATATTGCCAAGTTTGCCAGACACGGCGGCCCAGACCTTGGGGACATACGTGGTGTAAGTCCAGACTGCCCATTTTTTTGCCTGGGCCTCCACCGAGTAGAATCCAACTAATACACAACGATATAGTATTCCCGCCAGCGAGCCAGCACTCGTGCAACGAGCCCCGATGGCCGACCGGGTCTATCCCGCCGGTCTGTGGCTGGAATGACTGAAACTGACGACAGCGGCCCGCCTTCGCCTTACGATCACAACTTCGGGCAACACCTGATCGACAATAACATCTGGGTTTCCTGCTGTTGGGCTCATCTATACTGGAGGCCAAGAAACTACGAAGATCTCAGGCTCCTGATGCCGGCAAGAGAGAAGTCCCAGGTCCCGTTTGACCAATTTTCAAGGAGGAACGAGAATTTCGTGGAATGGGAGTATCAGAACTGGCACGATGAGATGAAATCGGAACGAGACGTGATGATCGAAATCATCCCCAAGATCGCCGGCCCCGATCATCCTCTCCCGAAAAACCGCAACGTCTATTTCAGCAACATGGACGCCATGACCGACCTAAAGGTCCGCCCGGCACCCATCTTCTACGACGGGGCCAGCTACAAGGACCTCCACCCATCCGTCCTGAGCGACCTCGACAGCCTGATCGTGCCCTCCAAAACTAGAGCCCACCCGGTGGCCCCCAACCTCTTCCTCGAGGCGAAGCCGCTCTGGCGCGGCACCGGCATCGCCGTGCGCAAGGCCTGCCTCGACGGCGCGTACGGCGCCCGCGCGATGCACGCGCTGCAGAACTACAACAGAGAGGTGCCGGTGTATGACGGCAACGCCTACGCCTATAGCTTCGTGTATAACCCCATCAACGCCGCGCTCAAGATCTACGCCCACTACATTACGGCGCCGAGGACTCCAGGTGGGCGACCGCACTATCATATGAAGAAGATCAAGGGGTTCTGGATGACCATGGATGTCGAGACATTCATCAACGGGGCGCTTGCATTCAGGGAAATCAGGAAATTGGCCAAAGCTCATCGTGACCGCTTCATCGAAGAGGCAAACGACAGAGCGTCGGAGTTGACTGCCATCGGGTCAGAGCATGTAGGGTCTTGAACTAGATCAATGCCATTGTCCCCTACGCAGTCTGCTTCACAGTTGGGGCTGGATTTGGAAATGTATCGTGCAAATATCATGCAGTAGCTTAGCCTACAGTTGGAAATCAAGGTTATCTTCCGCGGTCTCGATTTGCCGTAATGGTTCACTGTAGTGCAGCTAGTTCCTTGTGCCTCGGCTAATTGTGCCTGTCTCTGAGAGATCAGCATCATAATTGTATGACAAAGCTCGGACTGTGAATTCATAACATAGTGGTAGCCTACGTAACTTTCTACTCCCTTTTTCGTTCTCTTTCCTGGGGTTGACCACTTGACTGCCTCTCAACGTCATCATGGCTATACATAGGACTGAGAACTCCCTTTAGCTGGAAGTTATAGCCACAAAGGAGGGAGAGGATCATATAGCTCAGTAAGTCTTTGATGAGTATTCCTCAGTGGATAATCCCTGGAGAGATAAGGACCTTGAAGAGTGTAATGTACCCCCGATATCTGCCCCGCCTGATCAATGAGAGCCCCTCATCAATGAGAGCCCGGTCGTCACGGCTATAGCAAAAGGGATCGTTAGGCCCGGAATCCCGCTCTCCCCTCTCTCCTTTGGTTACATCAAGACCCCCCGGCACTCCTGCTCCCGCTGACACTGCAGGATCTTGTCACCTAAACGTTCGACAGAAAGGGGAAAAGGGTTGAGTCTGATGCTCACAGGGCATGACGCCTTCAATACAACCCTACTATCAGACGCCTTTTGTAAGAGGTTGCCGAACAAGTCAGAGGCTACTTGGCACGGTCGTGAAAGCGGACGTTTCTGTTCAGTCCACGCCAGTAAGAATGAATAGATAGATGCTGCCTACCAATGGAGTAGTGTTTTGAGAGACCCTCCGGTTGACTGGTTGTTATGTGGAAAGAAGAAAAGCTATTCTCGCGAGAAAAAAGCCAGAAAGCCAACGCAATGTAGTATTCAATATCTCCCCGAATGGTTCTTGATCCACGAGCGTATCAAGACGGAGATCCTGCCTCAAATGAAGGAGTTGTATGGACATACTCCCTGAATCTCTTATCCCCATTGCCATGTTACAGGCTTCAATCCTTCGACAAAGAATCCATCCTGGCCATAACGTACGTAGGAAGAAGTGCTTCAAAGTTAGAACATGCAATATTGATATGTTGGCCTGGCAATTTCCCAAAAGCAATTGGTCATATTATGCGAGTCTGTGAGCAATCTCAAACTAACAACCTCCTAAAACATAGCTAAAAACAACATTGAACTTTTTTTTGTCGGTTTGCTGCATTTTTCAGGAAATTTCACGAAGAAAAGCAAATCCTAGAGACTTTGGGAGCCTCTTAATCCACATCCAGTACAAATAGCCCAGTCTCGGAACCTCAAAAAGAAACATAACACGTGAAATCTCATAATCCAGTCCCGCAACTTTCCTTTAGTTGCTCATACCAGGTGGAAACACCCTTACTTTTGAGTGTTCATACTTTGTCAAGCCAAGAACAGGCATCATCAGATGTCTGCCGAATACCTTCATTGCCTCCCGATGAGTGCCAAGCTCCAAGACAATGTCTCGTGCAGGGGCTTGGTTTTGCATGGGAGGTTTATTCTCCGAACAACAATGAGTGCCATGTTGAAATTCTCCGAACAGTAGTGAGTACAATATTAGCCGGAGGGAGAGGGGGGAAATCAAAAACTTTTTCGGGTTGAGGGGGGCAGAAACATGTCTCTGCCCGTTAGACCGCGAACACTAGGCAGAATCAAGCCATAGTCTCATATCGCATGTGGTCTTACACTTGGCATCGACACACCTTGCCGGAACTTTTTTTTTGGGTTTTGGGGGGAGGGGTTTTTTTCCTTTCAAAACATCGAACCTCAAGCGAGTCCTGCTCAAACATCCTGAACGACCTGTGCTTGCTAAAGTCGCAACGCGTGCAATACAGGGACCGAAACGCAAAGAAGGGGAGATTGGGAGAGAAGAAAGCCTTCTCTACCATACAAGTACACAACGCATTCCAGTCATTCAAATTTCTGTGAATCCATTAAAACATCCGAACCATATCTCGTGGGGCGAGGGGAAAACAAACGAACCAAACCGCCTGGCAAGGACCAAGGACGCTCCATTCAAGCGGGCTCAAGGTAGCCTTCCTGCCGGTAGAATCTCTGCGAGCCGACGTACTTGCGAGTCACTCCACCCTGGGTACAGAGGGAGTCGAAATCAAGGAGAGTCGGCTCTGGGTAGCCTATGTGGATGTTCTCCAGATCCACCGCCGTGAGGCTCTGTCGATCGGGCGAGACGACAAAGTTCCGGGTGCTGGGGTTGGTCTGAACTGCCGAGAACTCGGACAAGTCATAGAAGCATCTCTCCAGGAGGTCTCTCAGCTCGTCGTAGGTCAGTGTCGCGCCATCAGGATTCGAGAGGTAGGCGCCGGGAACATCCTGGAGAAGCATGGCATGCTTGTCACGGCAGATGGTCCGGCCCAGGAATTTCGGAATTGTGATGCCTTGGAGCTCCTTCAGCTGGTTGTAGGTCCTGATCTCAGCGTCGAATTTACTCAAGTAGGGGGGCTCTTGATCAGCTGGGAGCCAAGTGACGTGTTCCGGGTCATTTTGCCTTCGGCATTTCACGACTAGAGTGGATGGAAGAAACCATTCAGGGAAATGCTTCTGGGCCCAAATCGTGGCCGCCTCTGGGAGGAAGCGCAGCATTTTCAAAGGAAGCCTGACGACCAGCGGGGGCGGCTTTACTTCAGCATGAAGAAGGTCTACAGTGTCGCGATGGACTGGGCGGCTGAGAGTTCTGACCCAACGGGTGCGGAACCAAAAGCTCTGTATTAAGAATTAGCTTCCGCAGAGAGGCGTTGGATATAGAGTTCAGTCTTACCATTCGCTTTCTGGGAGGAGGAACTGGCTGATTTGCCGTAAGACGATAGCGCTCAGGCTCGCCCTCGTAGGGTTTTGGCATGTCAATCAGTGCCTGGGTGAGCGAGGCCCGCCGGATGGGATACGGAGCCAGCGACATCGTGGGATCGTGGGAATGTCACTTGGAGTTAGCGGTGGGAGGATGTGGCACACTCGCAACGGTCATCAGCGGATGGTGGTTTGGCTAAGAAGTACGCTTAGAAGTACGCTTGAATTGTTTAGGTTCCAACATCACGCGTCGTCGCACGCGGGAGGCAGGCACAAGTGCTGGAGGTGCTCAGGCAACGGACCAGAGAGGCCCCACCCCTTATCGGGTAGCATTGACTCTCCAGCGGCAAGAGCGGGGTCAGATGGCCTCTGCCTCCACTGGCCGGGTCTCGCCCCCAGCAGGTCTAAACTTTAAAATAAAAAATGCACCGGGCTGACTCAGCTAACCTGTGCGCAGGTTAGCTTAGTCACTCCCGATCGGCCCAGGTACAGGTACAGGCACTGCAAAAGTGAGGCTATACAAGACAGTCTCGGCGTCGAGATTCTGCGGGCGGTTCGTGCGTCCCAGGGCCGTCGGACCTCAGCATGCAGGCGACCGCGATTTTAGGCAGCAAAGGAGGGTGGCTGGGTTTCATGAATGCGGCCTCCCGCAAAAGTGCAACAAAAGTGCAACCCTCCAGTACAGTCCCGGTTGTACCATTCATTACCTGCAGCTCTCCTTAGGCTCACGCCTGATTTAGGCCGCCCAAGCCGGAGTGACCACTCCTGTCAGGCTTTGGTGTAATTATCATCGCGATGCAAATACATGGAAAAAAGAAAAATAAACATGTCGTGGCACTGGGTGCGATATCTCCCATTCCATAGGCCGCTCTGCCTTTCAACTCCTGTTCTGTTCTATTCTGTCATTTCTGAGGGGGGAACAATGAATGCCACCGCATCATCAACACCACATCACCCCGCGTCTGTATCCTGCATAACACGTGACATCTATCTCTAGCAATTGGACTTTACCAATCATTTATTCACCAGATTAATGCACTTTATACAATATTGAACCAAGAAAAAAAATACACATCAACTATCAGGCACCAAAGAGTAGCCACCATGAACCCGTAAAATAAGACTCCCGCAGAATCGTTAGACTATCACTAACAGTATGGCAGTAAAGTCAATCCCTTCGTCGAGTGGTCGATCGGCCAAACCGGTCCCAATCAATGGATCATTGGCTCCAAGGTGGTGTGCGAGAGTGTCCAACACCCAGAACCCAAGCCAGTCGATGTCCTTGTCAGCTGGATAGATGGCAACAGGACCTTCTATCTCCGCAGACGAACTCCTGAGGATACAAAACGCAAGGGGAACACTGAGGCTAACAGAGTTGGCGTCCCTGGGGTTTCATCCGCCGTGTGGTGTATCGGAGATCGCATCTTCAAAGCTCATGCTTGGTGCGGAGGCATGGAGCTCGAGTCTGCCAACATCCGCTTTGTCAAGGCCAAGGTGCCCAGCCTGCCTGTGCCGGATATCATATATGAGGAGATCGACCCTGGCTTCAACAGGAGCTTCCTGGTCACAACACGAATCACAGGAAGAACCCTGGAAGAAAGATGGCCGAATCTAGGCCCTCATAAGCGTGAACTGCTTGCCTCGGACGTTGCCTCGTATATCAACCGGCTGGCTAAGAATACGTCCTCGAGCTTCAAGACGATCTCGGGCTGTGGAGTGTTTGAGCCGCGCCTCCTACCGAAGCCCAATGAAGAGCATCGACCCTGGCTGCCAAGATTGCTCGGCCCATTCAAGGGGGAGTGTGACATGCGAAACTACATGATGACGATCTCGAACGAATTTCCCCCGGAAATCGGCCACGAGTTCCGTTTTTACCATGCCGAGCTTGGCCCAAAAAATATCATCCTCGCGAACAATGATGCTGTTGCCGGCATCATAAACTGGGAGTTTGCAGCGTACTACCCAAGTCTCTGGTTAATAACCAAGCCCTTGCTCGGCTCTTTTGATCTAGAAAGTGACCCGAACGACCCGAGAGGCTGGGCGAATCTCTTGAGGGACAAATTACAAGTGTCTAACTACACGGAGTATAACTACACGGAGCAGGAGCGCATATATAACCGTTGGGTCAAAGGCATGCTTTGAACGTGTCTCAGAGGTGCAGTTATTTCCGAGGTGGCGAGCTATAGAGGAAATACTATGCTATACGTAACTTATGACCCCTCTTCAAGCCATTGCTAGCCGCCCTTCTTTAACAGAAGATTTCAATAAACGTTGTATTGTCGTGGCGGCCTTCATTACAGCTGTAGTGTGGAAGCCGACGTTGCATCCCCTACTCCTTGTAAATTGCTACTCATGGCCTTAACACTCCTAGCCTAAGCTTAGACTAGATTTGCACTAATGAGCCATCCCAAAAGCCGGGCGCTTGTGGATGAAGGCCTTCCAGAAGGAAGCGTGTTTAGAGAACTATATTTCTCTGTGTTTCCACAGCACAAACTTCTAGCTTTTGCCGTCTCAGCACAGCTTGAGCAGGCAAACACCTTCTTATCTCCCAATCAATTGTACCTAGTATATATCCATCCCTATTGAGGGTGGTTTCGATCGCCAAGTCGCCGTCCGTAAACGTATATTCTGCCCTAGACAGGCACCGGTTTTGTCCACGACTACAAGCTCGGCCGGAGTCGCAACACGATCTCGATCAAGCGATGCCAAATAGAGTCTACTGAGAACGCCAAGAATGCTGCCTTGCACGTCCATATATCGGTTGGCCTTCAGGATCACTCGTTGTTCGACTCGGATGTTCGACTCGGAGACTAGAACCGTGGCATTATGCGTCTGTAGACTACGTGTATGCGAGCTTCGAAGTTGGGGTGGGTATCATTTTCGCTCCCTAACGATTAGTTTCAAGCCTGTTAGCTATAACACTTGATACCTCACTGCTTAGAGGAGACTTACCTGTTTGTCGTCCCGACAAACCTCTGGAGATCGTTTGGCAAACCTCATACAAGTCACAATAGTGCGTTAACTAGTCGGTAACGCAAGAAAGCGATCGGGATTCGATAGATTAGAGCAATAAGTATGTGGATTGAGCAGTGGGATTTCGACCAAGACAGGCAGTTATCGTGAGGGCGCATCGATCGCGTCTGCGGCACAGAGCCCTCCGGCGTCACATCACGTGGCAAGACATGCATTCAACGCAGCCTTGCACGGCTGGAAGGTACCACCGACCAATCACTTGCAGTTACGCAAGCGCCACAGAATCCAGTCTCAGCACACTGCCATTGGCCTGGACCCTCTGGAATTTGGTGATGTTTGCAGTGGGCGCCTTGAAGCTGCTCAAGGGATCTAGCCGGCAGAATTAGTACTTATTTAGACCGTATCGTGACAATTCGGTGGTGATGTTGAGCCTGGGATTGCGAAGCTGGACCTTGTGAATTGTATTAGGAATCAAACAATTAGAGATTGCATACAATGCGAAATATAAGCTTATATGCCCCCCAGGCACAGAACGATTAGCTGAAACCTAATAGGGCGTAGTACCAGTAGGGCTGTGAAAACCTCACGTGGTGCCGTGCCCGTTATGTGAATCACGAATGACGTGGTTGTCTTAAACACTTGAGATCAAACATTTGAACTTTGGGTGGCAGCATGGAGTTGAACTAGATGCGGGGGGCTAGGACGATGACTGCACGGTTTAAGCAATGAAGCTAGTTACAAAGGTTTATTCTATGAAAACCAACTCGACCCTTGAAGGAACTAAGAGAACAGGCTTGCCCGAGGACACCATGCCTTGGGAAATATATATATACCGCTCGAGTATACACCGTGGGTAGTAAAATGAACAAAGTAGATACAAGTGAAGAAACCCGGTTAAGAAAAATGAAGGCTACCAATGCCATGCATGTATGATGCTGTCTATTCCATTACGCCAGAGGGGGGAAACAATATTCCATCAACGTCAAAATAAAAGGGAAAAAAAAGAAGAAGAGATAAAACACAAGGGGAGGACCACTTTGAAAAAGAAGGGGGCCCTGATACTTCCACTCGTCACTCATTAGGTAGGTACTTTTGAATCCAAGCAGCTTCTACGCGCTGGATTGAATTGGTTCTTGTAGGGCTGTGCTTGAAGCTGTTGCTGCTCGGTCCATGCCGGCATCGTGCCCGTTTGGTCCCTCGGGGTCCTCGGCCTCGTCCATCCAACCCGAGAAGTCCTCATTGTCGTCATAGTTGGCGACAGCGTGGGGCGAGGACATATGCTTTTGCATGCCCTCGCTCTGGAGGGGGTTGTTGGGAGTCAGGGGCGGCCGAAGAGCAGAAGGGCTGAACACGCCCAGAGCCCCCTTTGTCTTTGTCGCAGTCAAAGGGGCGGACCTTGGGGTTTGTTTCCAGGGACTGAAGGGTGCTCCGTCTTCATCGGCAGGCGTGTTAGGCTCCGAGTCATCGGGTGCAGCGATAACAAGCAGTTCTGCGTGCCCTGAACCATTTGAGTCACGGCTCGCACCGCGTCGTCGCCGGGCTTGGACGGAGGATGTTCTATGTCGGGAAGATCCTTCCCTGGGAAGCTGCTCAGAGGACCCTTGCTGCGAGCTCGATGATTTCCTCGAGCTCCGGAAGGTCCCTATTTTCGTCTTCCCGTTCGGCCCTGGCAGTGGTTGGCCAACAGGCGGGAATGGTTGTCCACCACCCATGGGCTGCGTAAGATCGATTTGACTTGCTGCTTCGGCTTGCTTTTTGGCTTCCCTTCTCTGTAGGGCATTCCATCCCCAGTTCTTGGCTTGCGCTGCAGCTTGCGTGACAGCTGCAAATGTCGTGCTTCTCGGGGTAGGCGTCAGAGAATCCTCGCCCTCCTCGCCCTTGGGGGACAAGATTCCCTTTCTTGGTGACAGTACCGACTTAACTGGAGACTTGAGCGAGCTCCCGGTGTTTTCTCTTCTCAAGAAAAACGTCCGTCCTCGCGATGCACTGTAGCTCTTGCCTGAACCCCGAGACGACACCGAATCCTCAGACGCACCAGATGCTAGCGACTCTCGTGATGACCCCGTGTTGTGTCGTCCCAGTGTCAACTCGGGAACGTCCTCAAGGCTCTCCCCAAACCCAGGTGGGTTGTCCAGTCCCTGTCGTAGAGAGGAAGTCGATGAGGCCGCTGACTTGGACAAAGTGAAGTTACGGGAAGAACCTGGTCGCGAATTCGATGTACCCATGATTACCGCGTTCAGACTCATATTGTCCTCAGAGCCCGAGTCTTCGTGGGTCACTTCCACGCCACGCAAACCCTGGTCCGACTTCTCGGAGTCTCTTGATTCAGGCCGGTCAAGCCTACTATGCCTGCTAGCCGAATCATTCTCCACAAGCTCCTCCTTGGACCTGGAAGCTGGCACATTGTGGATAGTCTTCGCATCTTCCTTCGATCCGAGACCAGAAGCAGTACCAGATTGCGTGTCAATGACGGGGAAGCTGTGGCTCTTCTCGAGGGGAGGATGATCTTGTAGCTTCTCTCCCTTTTCTCTGCCCCGTTGGACAACTTCGGGGTTGTCAGTTCGGACACCATCGGCAAGATCCACTGCTGATCTATCAACTGCGTCATCGCCCTCAAAGATGCCGCCTCGCCAGCTCTTGTGTTCGGTCTTGAAGAAGGGTACATCATCCCAGAAAGGCTGGACCAGTGTCTCGGCAACAATTTCCTTGATACGGTTCTCGATCTGTCGGAGAATGACGGTGTAGGTGATCTGCCGAGAACTGACAATGGGCTCTATGGCCAGCTCCATCTTGGGCATGGTCTGGAAGGAGAGCCACAGACGGTTGCTGGGAGGCGCCTTGATCTTGAAAAGCATGTGACCCTCGAGCTTCTTGACTACCACTGCGAGGACAATGTTGACCTGTCTCTTCTTGAACCGGGGGCCCAGATCGATCTTAACGGTCGTAGCAACCTCGATTCGGAAATTGCCGTTGTATCGAACGTCAGCGTCAACTAGACACTCGCCATCCACATTCAGGTCCTTGAGCCTTAAATTTGTGAAGAAGGGGGCGGCGTCACCCGTGTCGATGGCATTGATCTTGATATTAGACAAGAACGATGGTCTCTTCACTCGGGATATCTTGATATTCAGCTTGTCTCGGATATACTGTTCCAAATCGGCCGTTTTGTAGACACCCAGAAAGATGCGCCCAATGAGTGCGTTGATCCACCGCGAGTGAACATTGTCGTCGGAGGAGTGCAATTTCTCGATGAGGGAAATAACGTGCTTGACATTGAACTGTTTTGGATCGGGAGGGGCATCGGCCGGGATCACGGCGGTTTGCTCTTGGTCTCGAAGGAGGGCAAAGTAGAAGTCTTCCTTGGCGGAACAATTCTCGGAGAAGAGGAAGAAAGGCTTGGTCGGCTGGGAATCGGGCGTGGATTCGAGACCGGATGTTTTCCTTGTAAGGCAGAGGGCATTGCGCTTGATGAAGAGCTCGCCCTCGGGGGTAACGCCTCCGCCTGAATAGATTGTAACATCGTGGTGTGCGAGTGAAATTACATGTCGAACTTCGATCTGCTGCTCGTCGTCGAAGAGCATCAAATGGCCGTGCCTGAAATGGATAAGGGTGTCAGCAAGTTTGGCGAGAATGCGATCGGGATAGGCGAAAAGGGAGTGTGAAGAGAAGGTGGTGCAGTCATTAAGGCAATGTTGAGAGGTGTTACTTTGTTGTGAATATGGTGACCGGAGCGCATTGTAGAAGATGTGCGGAGAGAAGGGGCAACGTCTCCTGGCTACCGTGCAGCTCGCATTCAAAAGAAATGGGACAAATGAGGGCTGGAAATGGTGGTGGTGGTCTCGCCGCGGCTCCGGTGTGCAGAATGCATGCGCAAAACAGTGCAAGGTTCGAGTGGTCTTACCTGAGAATGACGAAGAACACATTGCCCGCATTCTTGGGCCGCTGGCTCGCGCTGGCGTTTTCCGACTGGGACGAGTTGGCACCCTTGCGCTCAAAGAGACTCTTGTACATGGCCTGGTAGACGCTCTGGCTGGGGGCGGCGACGGTGGTCGAGCCGACTGGCGTGGAGCGTTCGATGGGCTTCGCATTTATCCCCATGGGTGTGTATTCTCGACATACGGCGAAGTACCCGCAGGCGGCGTCGAACTGGGGGTTCACGCGCAGCATCGACTTCTCTCGTTTCGCGGCGTGGAGGAGACTGGTGTCGTCGCCCGGCTGGACGATGCCGCCGTCTTCCGAGTCGGCGACTTGGACATCGTGGCGGTAAGGAAAGGTCTGGTGGGCGTGGAAGAGGACGGCGATGACGACAAGAGGAATGAATGTGATGCCGCCCAGGAGGTAGGCAACCAGAAATCCCGTCCAGCTCATTGCTCCGTCCTCTGGCAGCGGTCTGCGGTCGGTTCGCACAAGAAGCAGTTATCGTTTCAAAACAGGCATTGGACGAACCAGTGGAGGTTCCTGCGGGATCCGTAGTCGGTGTGTTCGGTTCGCTGCTACGCTCCGTGCGCAGGCTCGGGAAGTTGCATTCGCTTTGCCGGAAGGGCAGGAAAGGTCGGCGGAGGACAATGAAGGAGAGAAATGTCAAAAGAGCACGGGTATGGATTGACTGTGCACAGATGCAGTGTCGCGCCGCCGGGACTACCAATCCATAAATCAATCAATTCATCGGATCGAATAGTGCATCCCAGCTCTTGAACGGCCGGTGCGGTGGGCGAGGGTGCAGCTGACGGCGGGACTTGGTGGAGCGTGTTCGCTACTACGTCATGTGATGCCACGGTGGCTTCCCAGAGACCTGTCGCGTATGACGGGTGCACGAGGAACAGGTCGTTGTCGCTCTTTTTTTGCGGCTGGGGAACTTCTGGGTGGGGCTTGCACGATGGCACGTAGGTACCGTCGCTCAGGTCCTCGGCCGTGGAGGGAATCCCTTTTCTGAACCGTGCACCCGATCGGGTCAATTCCAACTCACATCAGCCAGGCTCCTGGACCACAACGAGCGCACCAAAGTCCCACCTGCGCTATTCTTAGCGTCTCCGGGCTGAATTGAGCAGAGCTGTTGGTGGACTTGCACTCGCTGTTCAGATTGATTTCGTGCATTGCATACTATGCTGACCAGAGCACCGGCCCAATTCGGTCAACATCAGCACGACTAATAAAATATCTCGAAGCGGATGAAGCAGCCCTAAGAGCCCTACAAGCCCCTGAACATCTTCCATTGTCGGGTGAGGCGTGAGATGGCGTGGGGTGGTGTCGCTGTCCCTTTTGGTCAGAGACTTAGAGCAGTGTGACTTGGTGGATCCTGTGGCCGTGGACGTGTAGGGTAGGTATAAAAAGACGCTTAGTCACATTCTGCGTCGGCTTGCGGAACAGAACAGCGGTGCGATGGCCTTGCTGTCTGTCGGTCCCACATGGTTGGTCTCTCCGGATGAGGGGCCAACAAGTCCTCTAATTAAGTGCCAGGGGCTTCCCGACTCGCCCACCGTCGGAAGCCTCAGCTGGCGCACAGTCCCGGAAGCCTCAGCTGAAATAGCATCAGTGGAGAATTGCTTCTATACATAGTGATGGGGAGATCGACCCTGATCTGACCCTGGAGCTAGCTTCACAGTTCTTGAATTGGAAGAACAGCACGAGACAGGGTGCGTAGGCGTGTAACCCTCGTTCCACGGCTTCTTTTACGGCCAGTCGATGGTGCGCTTCGTGATCCGTCTCGCGTGCGACTTGTCCCAGAAGCATGGCGCCGTCGCCTTGAAATTTAGCAGAGAACGCGTCAGACCGGAAGATCCGGCAAACAGGTCTGCGGGTTCCTGCTTGTATTCAATTCGGCATGCCCTCACGTCTAACTGCGTAGTTGGTGGCTGGCAGACTAGGCTTGATAAGTGGCATTCGACCTGGAGCATATTGTGTCGGAAAATGCGTCGTGTGGGCCGTGCGCTTCCGTCTAGCTCTCGTTGCCCACGTCATAATCATCAATGAGATGCGCTCTGGCAGATTTATGTGTTTTCTCTATTTGTCATCGCCCATAGTCTTCAAACCCAGCTCTCATGATGGGCAATGATGCAGCGCACGGGGTTAAAGCGTGGTGGTTCTCATTGGTTGCCAATCGCTCCAGGGTACTAACACCGCAGTTGCAGGGACATTGGGCTTTTCTCGTATTCATCACCTGTCACCTGTTAGACTGAAGGAAAGCAAACGCAATTCCCGGTGTAGCTGGGCTTGGTCAACGTTACCGAGAACCTGCTACCGCTGCTTCGTATCCAGGAAATCACACAATGATCCAACACCAAGGCGCCCACGTCGCACAGACGCAGTGGTTCTGTGCTTAATGAATCCTCCATTGCCGTACATCTTGCGAGCTTCGAGCTACTGTTGCCGTCGAAATTCAATTGCTGGAACACATATTAGCTGGAGTTCTCATGAAATATTTGCCATCCTACCGCTGACTTCAGTCGTAACTTCGTGTTTTCTGTCCAGATTCGACACCTTTGACGCCAAGAACAGCCCCTTTATGTTCCGTATAACCAAGGGCGCAGCGTGAAGCGATAACAGCCACCGTGGCAGATGTTGATCGACCGTAGAGCCTGGGTAACCAATGGAGATGTACAGGACGAGGTTCCGTGGCATATCTATTGCGAACTCGACTCAATGACTCAATCTATAGTCACACAAAGTGTCAGTCACGAAACACCCGCGGTACATGGAAAGAGACATTGGATACCAGAGCAATTTACGTTGCCGGCGGTGCAGGACACCTCCAATATGTATCCCCAGAAATGCATGGATAGGAACGGCGAGAAAGCAAGAGTAGAGAGTGTAGTTGTGAGAAGAGGATTCAAGGAGAGTAGGAATGCGTGGCCATGATGGAGACAAGGCCAGAAAGATCCATAGAACACTGCCCCCTTCTGTCTAAGAGCGAGGTCTATGTCTTGCATAGAAGAAGCCCGCTGTAGGTCTGTGACACTGGGTGTGGGAGAGGAGGTACGAGCCCTTCAAAGATCATAGGATGCACTTGACGTACGAGGACTTTGGTAGAACTCTATCAGGAAATACTTCCTCGCAACATACCCACCAAACTTGGTGACTTGCCGAGTTAATCTTGATCTCGGCTTGTATCACTGATATCACTGGCAAGGTATCCAGGCATGACACGAAACATGACCTGAATCAATCCTCTAAGATGTATTCAAATCGGCTGGAAGCTCCCATTCAATTTGGTTTCCTGTAAAAGTCCACTCCTATTCTGAAGACTGATTAGAAAGAAAGAAAGGAACGTCATTTCATCTCAATCAAGTGCTCATACTTTGCAAAAACCGCTCAACACCCACGTGACTATTGGCAGTCGCCAAATCCAACGCCGTCCTACCGCCCTGATCCCGCACGCTCGCATCAGCGCCGGCCATGATAAGTTGCTGCACAGTAGGCAGATGGCCCATCTGTGCGGCCCAAAGAAACGCCGTCCGGCCGGACGTGTCGTGCAGACTCATGTCGGCTCCGGCCGCGATGAGCTGCTGCATAACAGAACTATCTACTTTCCTTGCGGCCCAGATCAGCGCCGTGTTGCCGTCCCTGTCCTGGTGATTTATGTCGGCGCCGGCTCCGATGAGCAGCCGCACAATCTCTTTGCTGCGTTTTCTCGCTGCCAGCTCCAGCGGAGTTCTCTCACGCCTGTCCCCCGCCCATATATCCGCGCCGGCCGCAACAAGTTGCTGCACGACGGCTTTGTGTCCTTGGGAAGCTGCGTGATGCAGAGCTGTCTCGCCTTCCTTGTCTCGTATACGGAGGTCGGCGCCGGCGCCCATCAACAGCTGTAGGATATCGATATAACCTCTTTTAGCCGCCCGCTGTAGCGCTGTCTGACCCATCGTATCCTGGATGTTGATATCCGAGCCGCCTGAAATGAGCCACTGCACAACTAGCAAATGACCGCTGTCGATTCCTAAATGTAGGGCCGTTTTGCCGTGCGTATCCTGTACATTGGCAGTAGCACGAGCGGCGAGAAGCTGCTGGACCATGCCGAGATAGCCTTTAGCAGCTGCAAGATGCAAAGCTGTTCTTTTCAGCATATCCTGAATGTTGATGTTGGCCCCAGCTTCCACAAGCTGTTGCACGAGGGCCCTATCATTTTGCTCAGCTGCATGATGCAACGCTGCCTTACCCTCTCCGACCCTCAAATTTACATTAGCGCCTGCCGCAATGAGTTGCCGTATAACACCCCCGTGGCCGCTTCTAACTGCCCACTGTAGTGGTGTTAAGCCGCTGGATTTCTCGTTGATTGTATCAAGGACATCCTTAGGAAGTCGTTCGATCACTGCCCCGAGCCCGAAGTATGCGACAAGCGTCAGCGCGGTAGGTTTATCAGGGCCAATGTAGAAGTTTTTAGCTGTTCGATGTATGTTGAACCATGCCTGAGAAGTGAGCGGGCGCGGAGTGAAACAATCCATCGCAGTTTTGATGATGGAAGGCTTGTGCATCCCGTCACCTTTCCGAAAGTGCTCGGTCCAGTGCTGGGCTGCGTAGCTCATGAATGGGCATCTTTTGACATCGTCCCTTATCTGCTTATTACCTTGATGTTGGTCAAGTCGACAATTAGACAAGGCGATCCGCCACAGACATATCCCGGCAAGAATCTGATGAGATTCTTGAGGTTGGAACGTAGACTTCCATTGTGACGAAGAGGTGGGCGATATGTCGTTATTGATATAAGATGGCAGAATTGACTCGTGTGAAGAGGCTAAGAATTCTCTGGCTGTTCGATGCACTAGGTATATCTTGGAGTTGACAATTCTCACAAGAGCACCGCACAGGTCTTGAATGTCATTGCAGACTTTTGTCTCCGGGATCAGCTTATTGTCGTCGAACGGCTTGTGGCTGGGTCCGACTGCCAGAGCGAATGACATCTCCTTCAGTGTCAGTGGCCTTTGAGCTGCCAGAATTATATGCAGAACCCGCCGAGTGGATTCTGGATCCCTGGCCTTTGCCAGGATGTTTTCGTAGGCTCCGTCCACTGTTTGAGGGAGTTTCTGGATCTTTGATCGAATATTTTCTTGCTCGAGAAGAATGTTATCGGCTTCTTCTATGACGAGATGCACCCACAAGTATGTGGGGTGAGGATTTCGACAAAGTTCTGCGATGAGAAAGTCTCCATCTTCGGGACTTAGGCGGTGTTTCTGTATTAATCTTCCTGCTTTCTGTTGTATTGCAAACTTGATCTCACTGATCCTGGCAGCCTCTCCGGGACTCTCACCGCTCCAATGGATGTTGACCCTTTGGTGCCGTAGTGAGTAAGTATCAAAGTAAGGCCGACTTGTGATGAGAAATTTCAGCCTCGCTGGATAGGCTTGTGATTGAGAGTAGAATCTTCCCAAGGCTTCGATGAACTGGCCCCGTCCTGGTTCACTGCACTCGTCCAAGGCATCGAGAATGCAAAGAACTTCTTTGGATTTTTGGCGCTCTGCCACGGAAAGCAGAATGGCCCAGAACTCGCGGAATAACTCCAGAGTATTCTCTTTATTTTCCGTGATCGGTTGGAGAGCCAGTGGAGGAACATCGGCTGGAAAGTCCTTGAAGACTTGGTGCAGTATACAGAATAGAGCCCCGGTTACGGAGTTCTGATCCGAGTAGTCTTTATTGAAGAAGAAGTAACATGTTAGCCTCTTCTTGTTGCTTGGTAACGCATTTTCCACCACATGTCTAGCTAGGACTGATTTTCCATATCCGGGCTCAGCTGAGACCCAGAGAACATTGGCTATGTCGGAGTTGCGCCAGTATTTGTAAAAAGTGTGGTTCAGAAACCACTCGCATGTTCCCTCCGCTTGAGGCGGGTTGGGCTCGTCTTTGCGTTCCCAATAGGGGCAACACAGCAGCTTCGGAACCCATTCTCCTTGCTTTAAAAACTCTTTTGCTAGAAGTTAGCGGGTGGATTGAACGAGACAATATTCCACATACCTTTTTGTTTATCCCTTTTATCTTTCCTGTTCAACTTTTCCCTTACTTTCTTCCTTTTCCCATCGTCGATTTTGTAAAGTGCAAGGAGTAAATCCTTTTTTAGCAGCTGATAATTGGCATCATTTGGTGAACCAAATCCGCACATGGTTTCGTGGGCTCCTTTAAGCGTCCTGATTTTGGCCCATGACGCATTGATCCAAGCCGATTCCATTGGAATGGCCTTCAACGATCAGTATATATTGCAAAGCTCGAAGGTGGACAACGTACCGAATTAGATATAGACCCAGTAGGTCCACCCACAACGGCTCTAGTAAATGTCACAACGAAAAGCTTTTTTCTACTTGGGCGATATAGCATTTTCTCGAAAATGTCTCGAACAGCTTCTAGGTCCTCTTCGTGTCGTTGAGAATCCAACGTCGTAAATAGGGTTGTATTTGTGGCAACAAACTCGCCAGGGATCCTCCTCAACAGTTCGCCCCATGATTCTCCATGAGGTTTGCAGTGAGGGGTTTCAAAGAAGAGGACCCCCTTTGTTACACCTCGAAGAGATGCGGTAGAACGCCGAGATAAGTCTAGAGCCTGTGATCAATTTAGTTCAACTTTGTCCGTATTTGAAAATGTGCTGCTTGCAGCCTTACCTTCTTCACAAGGATCCCACCAAGCCTGTGTGCTATAAAAACTATGGGACGCCCTGGCTGGATTGACATAGTTAACATGGAAGTATGTACATGATTGGAGAGGATATACTGACCACATCTCTCCGCTCACTTTGCAGTGTAGAAAGAAGATGGTTGCTTAGAGACAGAAGATTTGCCTGTAGAGATTCCTCCTGGTCTGGCTGATAGCCATAGGTCATCACTCGGACATCGGGAAAATCGCGCCCGAGCAAATCTCGAGGCCAAAAGACTTTTGAAGAGGATTCGCTAGGAACTATGGTTGTCATCTGTGCATCTTCTTGTTTTTTCCTCAATCGATCTGCGTCACCGAAGCGATATCGTTGTCGGCCTCGAGTTTGAACTTCATCAGGGACTCTCTGCTCGTCTTGCTTGGTTGATAAAGTACTCTTTGACCAAGTACTTTCCGGATGCCCACCAAAGCCGTGGACAAGGACGACGCTGCGTGCAGTATGTTAGTTGGAATCGAGTCTGAGACGCGCGGCGAATGAAGTTCGGGGAGCAGTACTCAGCCTTCGGGTTCTCCCCGCCGTCAAGGAGGCAGGTAAACCCAACGTTCGAGGTGCGTGCCATTGTCAGTGTCGCTCAAGAGGATATGAAGCTTTACTAGAGGCTGGTTCACAGGTTGTAAATTGAATCAAACTGGCGTTGAGGTCTTGGTGATTTCCAGAACATCGTTTGCCTGCCCATAACATAGGTGTAGGTTCCCCGCCCCAGCCTTGATACCCAACGACAGACTTGCATGAAATCGGTGGAATGTAACTCCGACCAGCCAACCGCCCTGGTCATTTGCAAGTCGCATCCCAGGTGTGCTTGCTGCAGAATATGGTTGCTACCGGCAGGACAGAGTTACATTCTTGACAAGAAGGACCGGTTGTGCCGAGAAGCTTGCGGGCATAAGGGACTGACAACTGGCACTTTAGTAATGGCTACACGTAGCTTCCTCTCCACCGCTGTGCAACCCAAGGTTGCTTGAAGGTTGTCTGCAGCGCTTTTTAGTATGCGAAAGTGGCATGATCGTGAAAATGGATGGTCAGTGGTCGATGGTCGATCAACAGAGTACGGGGTGATCCTATCCTGAAAACAATGATAATGCTTAAGTAAGGAGAACGAGATTCCCAGCACTGGGATGGCGTTAAGTTAGTTCTTCCTTGATGATGCGTAGAACCAGGCAAAATATAGATTCGGGATGGGATAATGAGGAGAGAAATATCGCAGGGTATCGTGTTGCTTTCCTAGATGACAGCACTAAGGTACTCGGTCTGATTCATCGCCTTGTTATCGAAGTTCTTGTCCTCCTCCCACTGAAATCGCTTTGATGTTTCGAGTCTCATCATTGCCTCGAATACTTGCCCAGCATTACTGATGTTCTCCATGTGTTTTTCGTCAAGAGAACGGTGGAAAGCCCGCAGCTTGGCGTCAACACTTACAAGATGATACCAATCCTTTTTCTTGATGTCAAATGGGGCCTCGTTGTCGGGCGTCAACAAGAGAAAAGGCAATAGACCCTCGTACGGCCCACACAGCTTCATCCACCATCGCCCTTCCTCAAGATGCCGACCGAGCTCCTTTTTCCCCATGTGGTGTTTCTCAGCGGTCACCTGCATTTCAGTGGAGTCGATCCGTTTCAAGCCGGTCCGTTGCTTGATCTTCTCGGCTTCTTGAGCGAGCCTCATCTGGCATAATCGAATGACGAACTTTCCCAGTGCAAGATTCTTTGCGCTGGCTTGCAACCATTTGATCTGATATTCCACACTAGTCTTGGAATTGTCGCTGCTGCACGAGAGTCCATCATCGTGTGAGCTTCTCCATTCGCGAACAAGCGACACAAATTGTGCAATAGCCAGGGAGCTTTGAATGGCCGCCGCCATCACCACAACATCGGAATGCCAAGGGTCAGATTTGTCGACCTGGGGCACAATACACCCAGAATCCGCTTTCCTGATAGCCTCAAGAACTTCGGCCACTTCGGCTGACTGAACTCTCTTCTTTGGCCTCACAACTGGTAACGGTGTTTGGGCTCTTCGTTTTCGCGATGTTTTAGGCGGCGCGACGCGATTGTTCGAAAGCTCCTTCAGACCGCAGTCGTCACAGCTAGCATGTGTGCTCGATACCAGCCCGTCTCCCGCCAACTTGAAATTAATCGACTGGGCAATACAGAACCCCATGTTCACGACATAGTGGTATTGACATAAGTCGGGGACAATCATTTTCCCAGGGGTGGCTACATGAATGGTAAAGTCGATGCCTTCTTTGTCGAGCCTCCAGGGCGCGATCAGGAGACTTTGGTGACCGACCCGATGACCGCACGTGTTACAATTCCAGTAGGTGGAAACAAACTTCTCGAATTTTGCTGTGTGATTCATTGCGATCAAGATCCAAAGCTTGACCCCATAGAGCACCACGTTGGCAGAGCGGAGACCGTGGCGTGTCGATAGATCGTCCCCGTCTATGGAGCTTAGATCCTCCCAGTGAACTCGGTTTGCAGATCTGTCTACACCAACATGGTAATATGGATGATGCAAGTCAGACAGACACTTGTTAGCCAACATTTCGTGCCCTGGATGTAGTGGAGTCTTGTTCGGAACACTATCCGCATGGCCACTGTAGTAAAAGACGGGTTTGGTGGGTAGATTTTCCACGTAGTCGTTGAGATACTGCCTTGCTTCCGCAATGGTTGGCGTCTTAGCTGCCTCGAGGTTCTCTGGCAACGCAACGGGTTTTCCGGTTGGTATAGGGGCGAAAACAAACCCATAGCCCTGCCCTTTTGGGCCTCTCTGGAAGGTATTTTTGGTGTATTGGCAATCATCGGCGCAAACATCCAGGTTGTCCCGAAACGTAGTTGGGTCAATGGGATTGTGAGGGACTAATATCTCGTTGTGGAAGTCTGGATGCGGAATGATTTTCTCGAGGGCAGGTATCAGTCCTTCGCCCATCTCAGCAGAGGTAAGTGTGAAACTCGAGGTAGAGCCATTGGGGGCAGCAATCATAGATGCATTCTGGTCCTGGGTGGGTGTTTCGGCAGCGGATGGCTCCTCATCTTGGGTAGACGAAGCCGCCACGACATTTGAACGGTCTTCAGTAGGTGTTTCGGCAGCGGATTCCACCTCATCTTGGGCAGACGAAGCTGCCACGACATCTGAACGGTCTTCAGTAGGTGGTTCGGCAGCGGATGCCTCTTCACCTTGGGCAGACGAAGTCGCCACGACATCTGAAGTGGCCGTCACTTCGGTCGCGCGCCGAGAGGACCTCACAGCTAGATCCCTAACGGCAGCAGGTGCATTCAGGGCATTCAGGGCCGAGTCCAAGCGCCGCTGTGTAGCTCTGCCGCTTGAGGCCAAACGCGTATCCCGCGCAGCTTTGCTACGGCGGCGATCTGGAGAGGGACGAAGCCGTACATGTCGGTATGAAAACTTTGATCTCGCGGCCATTGGCGTCTGCTGCCGGGCCGCTAGAGCCTGCGTCTCGGAGCGAAGCGACCGGGCCTCATCCCTCACCGTGTTTAGGAGAGCCGTCACGTCCTTGAGCCAGGGGGGCACTTCGGTATGTTCTGTCCGTCCGGAGTGACGAGAGCGCGACACGACTCGACGGCTTTGGCGCTGGCTTGATTTGCTCTGGACGTACTCTTGCACGGCGTCGAGGGTCTTTTCTATGCGGCTCGCGTGCTCGAGGAGCACGGTGAGGGTTGGGTCTTGGGGAGCCATGTGTAGCTCAATTGCGCTGGAGGATGTCTTGTCGGAGTGCATGTGTGCTCATGACAAGATTGCGACACCTGGCTGAATCAAAGACGAACTCAGCTTGCGCCACATGCAGCTCGCTACTGAGTGCTGCGTCTGCATCAGGTCTCCCCTGGACGCGTGCATAACGGGCTGCCAGCTGAACTGAATTGGGTGGAAAAGGCTACAACCTGTGTGCATAGAGCACAAAAAACCAGAGGAGAATAACAGTAAGAATTGGCCAAGGTTGTATTCTGTGTACGTTGTAAGAAGAGCAATTGAAGCACTCACGAAGACTCGATTCTAACTTTGAAAGTGTTGCTCGCGGATGCCTCCTTCCTCAGTAATGGCTGCCCCGCTGTAGAGGCGAGCCAGGGCAGGCGCTGCCCCCATCTGCTGGCGGTTCCCTCACTGATGCCCTGACCCTTAGTGCGCCTTACTTACCTTGTAGTGAGCTTGGGGTGTTGGTCAGCGGAGCACGCAAACTTCAATCAAAGAGGATCTACCTAGCCTTGAAGGAAAAGATTCGCCTAGAAACATGGCGGGAATAATACGTCCTTCAAATGTACTAAGCGGGCGTGGTATTTGATAATTTGATTAATTAGGAGGCTTTCACGTTTGAGCTGTGTCTAGTTTTCTTGGTGGTGCCAACACAATTTGACCTTACGTGACATTGGAATCGCTGCCGCAACACCTTTTTTAGAGCTAGCTCCTTTAACAATCCCATGACTCGCCGTCTCATCCTAGGTATAAACCTTCTCAGCCTGGCGAACAATTTAGTTTCGGCCTTTAGCCACACATCTCACAGTCCTTGGGATGTCCATATTGATCCAAGTGCTCCTTGCACCAACACTCAGGGCATTGATACGAGGACGAACCCCTAAGACACCAGTCCTTCACTATCTTGCCGTACAACTCCTGAACGCCGCAGCCCGACGTCACATGGACTTGATACTTCTTCCCCTTGGTGAGCCAGTAGGCCTTCTTCCTGGGGCGATGGGAGTAGCAGTCGCAGCAGAGGGCCCATGAACTATTCACCCTCTTGCGAGCGTCGACCGGCCGCACACGGTGCAGAACCCGGAGCATGCCGGGGCAGTCCCCGCCGTCGTCGCGATGCTTTGCGGCGCTGGGTATCGACACGTCGAAGTCGGATGCGACCCTGAAGAGCTGCCTGCAAGTCATGGCCAGGCCCAGCTTGTCCACCGGGCGCTCTACAAGCTTGAATATCATGCGAAGCACCTCGTTCGGAAGACCCTGGATCGCCGCGTCCTTGGCCCCGGCCGGTCTGCCCTCGAGAACCTAGCCCATCTTCCGGTTAGCAACGAAGCTCCATGTGCGCGGCGTGGAGGAGGGGATGCTCCATCTTACCTCCGGGGTCTTCAGTGGACCCCAGAGCCGGTGCCCATGTTTGGTCTCGCACCGCCAGAGGTCATACAGCGCGAGGTCGATGATGCCGGTCATTTGGTTTGGATGCTGGCTGTACCGTTCAGTCGGCTTGGGTTGATGTTGGTGGATTGTTGCCCGAGGCGGAGAGAAGTTGGGAGAATGTGAGGTCTGCCAGCCAGGCGAGATGGGAAAGGGCTGGACCTACGCAGAGACATGATTCTTGCACAATGGCCACTGTTCTGGTCTCTCCGCTCGAGGCCAAGCGACCCGTGCCCTGGATTGGGCCGTACGCAGTTTCGAGGCAACCCATCCTGCCGCCATCCTGCCGTGCCGTGTCAGCTGCGGCCTAAGCGGTGCATTAGTCGCTGGACTTGTCTCCCCTCCCGGTCACACAACAGCTTCCGACGCGAAGAGGGGAGACGGATTCTGTTGTTCTCTCATGCAAATGATGCATGTACCACTCCTAAAGCGATGTGTCGGATGCAGCAAGCACTCACCGACAGTTCACGTTGGCGCACCGATGTGCGAAGCCTTATCCTCAAGTTTCCACGTCTCAGAGCAGAACCCACCCCCCTCAGCCCAAACCACCCCCTGAGATACTTGTGAAGGATCTGTTTGTCGAATCCGAACACGATCTTGACCTTGTCAGGCGCCGTCTGCTCGAATTCCCACAACGTCATGCCTAGGAGCACCAGCATTTGGGAGCCCGATCTCGGTTGCGAACCTGCCCCACCGCCCGGTGCCGGCATATCGTGTGTAGCGAGCCTTTTATTTAGGGATTGCCAATGCCACCTCGGGTGATACTTATGCCATCTCGAAGACTGCTTTTGGCTGCTGGGTCGGTGGCGACGAGCGAACACTGGCATCAATGTTATGATGAAGCACAGTGCAGCAATTGAGGCTGGCTGTAGCTTATGAGCACCCGGAGGTTCACCTCAGCTCCATGGGAAGGGCATGGTGTCTAGGACTGCACTACCAATTAACCAGTATGGAATTAGTGGTACAGTCTCTAGACACCGTCCCCTTCCCCTGGAGCTGAGGTGAACCTCCGGGTGCTCATAAGCTACAGCCAGCCTTGCTGCACTGTGCTTCATCATAACATTGATGCCAAGCTCAGGGAAAAGGTTAGCTTATTCTCCTCTGCTTCCTCTATAGCCTCTGGGTCGCATCTTTGCCCGTATCGGTGCGACGTGGTGCGGCCGGAGATGCCCACTCGGTCGCTGGAGGAGCGGCGCCTCAGGCTTCACGTCAACGCCTGACCCTTGGTGCGTCAAGCAGTAGTAGATTGTACACCTGCACCAACCCTGCGTAGTGTCTTGCGGATCTGCACGTTCCGACGCATTCCCCTTCGCCTTTCTCGCAGATACCGCCGTCTAAATTTGGCAGAACAAGGCTCGCTGGCTTTTGCTCGACCGGGGAAGTGTCAGCTGCCCAACCCAAGCTGGTGTAAACTGGGACGACGTGACGGTGCCGAGCGGCCAAGAGGGTCTGGACCTTCCAGCTTATCCTGCCAGAGGGCTTCCAGGAAGATGATCGCAACCTATCGGGGAGCTTGGAACTTCCATGGACGGGCCCTTCGTGTTACGGTACTTCCGTCTTCTGATCATCAGCGATAGTTTGGTCAATTAATCCTGCCCCTCCCGATAAAGTGCTTTCCCATGAGATATTCTCATAAACTTGCCGGGCTGGAGGGGGAATGCGCTTTGTGATTGGGCTTATGTCATATCAGACTTGATTTAAAATGGCAGGTATTGCGATTGATGCGTGGACCTTTCGATTTGCGGCTGAGAATATGACCTGTAGACTCGCCTCCCCTTTACTATTGTGTGATCCAGCGCCAGTCAATGGGTGAGGCGGGAGCCGAAGGCCTCGTTTCTGGTTTCCCTTCCTCGATACGTTCAGCTAGTTGCAGTCGCTCCTCAGCCGTGGCGTTCTCCCTGTCTCGGAACCACCGACAAGAAGTGCAAGACATGTGGCATTGCATGGACAGGGAACGCTAGCCGAAGCGAAAGGGAGCACGAGGAAAGCTTGACAAGGCTCGGAGAGTTTTACATTTGGAGCCACCTCAGGCCAGGATCATCCTGATGCATGTCGGAAATCTGAGATGTGAGAAATGTCCGGTTGCAAGAGGGAACAATACGAATGGCGAAATGCTTGGCACTTGTTGAGCTGAAAGCCTGGAAAAGAAAGCATCCAATAGACCTGCGCATGCCCACGGCCAATTGGCGCAACTAACCCTCTTTTCATCAGCTTGCAGCGCCACGATTGCTAGGTGTAGGGACCAGCCTATCAGTTTTGTTCGATTACTGCTTGTACACGTAATTGCAATGTTGCATCACGGATGGGTCGTGACAATCCGGAAAAAGAAACGGGATGCTGAGTGGCTTTCGTTTGACGTCCATGAATCCAGTCTGTTTCGGCTCTTGACCGGTCAGTCCCTCGCCCACCGCCTCTCCATTCCCCGCGCCTGGAGAGAGGGGTTCTATTTCGGGGGTTTCTCCTGTAGCATCTGGAAAATGCAATTCCGCAACGAGTTATGCGAGACAGTAACCTGATGCTTCCATGGACAGAATTAGCGTAGAAATGGCCGCCTCTGTGGGAATTCGCCTTCATGTTGACCGGCCCTGGGTGGTGTCTTGGTACATTTCCCTCCTTGATCTTGGTCGGAATAAACGCACCATTACTTCATGGATCTTCTTTCTCCCCAGATCCCCTCTAGCGTCGTGGTATGGAGGTGTCCCCAAGGCTGGGAGTGGGCCCCTGCAGCTGCTTGATGCAGCTCTGCGTTCCTGGCTGAGACAACTGATTACTATTATTTGCCACGCTGAGAGACGACAATGAGACGATCGGCAGGAAAGGGGGAGAGTAAGGCTCCAGAGCCGAACGTGTTGCAGGTATACTCCATGTACGTATCTGTATGGCCTCGAGGCGGGAGCTTCTGTCCTGCTATAAGCAAACGGAGGATATAGGAAGAATTCATGTATCCTTATTCCAAACACATAATATGATGAGGTGTTGTGCAGCGTGCCAAGTTGCGGTGGCCAGACACCTGCAGCATCTCTTCCGGAACTGGCCACTTGATTCCATTGGGCGACCAATTACTCGACGCCTGTTCGATTGAGGGCAAAACAATAGTGTGAGTGGGTAGATGCAAGCCCAGAGCTTGTGTCTCAGCCTTTCGGATAGTGTCGCCAGTCGGATAGGTGTGCCAACACCCTTGACAGCTGACTTCGGCTAGACTCAGTCAGATAGTCCCAGCATCTGTTTTGCTTTTTGCAAAGGATGGTGAGGCCATTTACGGCTCAATGTATCTCCAAAGTACCCCTGAGGAATCTTGCGACCAAGACTGGCTCTATGTTACTTCAGGGAGGCTTGTTGGGGACCAACATGCTACCGTGGAATAGAACCCAAGGTCTTAGGAGATTGAGAAATCAAAGGTAATGGAGCATAAGGAGAGCCTGATCGAAATGTGACAGCCGATGTCCCCTGGTCGCATGACTATGGCCGATCACAGGTATCAACCAATGATGAGGATCCGATCCAGAGCCTTACGATGGTTGATCGCATCTCGGCTGTGCTTTCATGGAACCCCCTCAAAGTGCATCTTTGGGCCGTCTCGATCGTAAACCCATAGTTGACTGGCAGGTATATATTCGAGCCGCCAGTCCGCTTCTTCGACGAGCTTCAACAACAAAGCACTTTGTTTTCTTTCTCTCCCAACCTCTTCTTTTTTCCTCTTCGCTCGTAACAATCTATTTGATCTGATCCATCATGGCCAATGATGACTTTAATGAGTGTCTCATGCGAGATGTTATCGACGAGTCTTCCATGTCAGACGTCATTGACGGGTCGCCTGAGCCAGAGGGCTTTGATGAGTCTCCTACGGTAGACTCTGCCGAGTCTCCCGCGACAAGCTTCACTGAAGAGTCTCCCGAGCCAGAATCCCGCGCCGAGACTCCCGAGTCAGATGATGACGACTTTTCCTTGCATCAATTCCCAGATGACTTTGACGATTTTTCTGTGCAAGATTTCTTCGATGAGTACCCTGCGTTCTCACTTGACGATGAAGCTTTCCAGGGGAGACCCCTCAAGGGCATGTGGGACACAATCAGGCACCATCTTAAACAACCCAACCAAGATCATAAGACGGCTCTGTCGCTCATGCATCTAGCCACTGACTTGGCCCAAGCGAACTCGGGACGCTTTGGTTCTTGGGTCATCAAAAACAGACCTCTCGAGCCGCTTCTTGATTTCTTCAGATTCATGGAAGGCCACAAGCGCGACATCCTCTACGAGACTGCCGTGTTCATGGAATCCTTCCTGATGATGACGATCCTTGACCACAAAGCAAATCTTCGCTCTCCAATTGCGGTGCAATATAGCTCCGCGCAATCCTATGACGACTTTTGGAACTCATACTTCACCGCTGGGGGCTATTCCAAGGTGGCCAAAAACTTCATCAAATATGACAACCGGGGAGTCATCTACTTGGGCGAAGACGAGTTGACGGTCTGGAGTGGTGCCAGGCGCGCCCCAGAATTTGTTGAAGATGATCTTTACTGGGTATTCGACGGCGATGCTGCCCAGGAGGGGATTGTGCAGTTGCGCAATTATATCACGACAGATCATGCTGCGTTGTACAGGCGCTCGTGAGACTTTTCGTTGGGTGGGATATGGACACGGTCGCTCTTTTTGTTGTCTTCCTTCGTTTGAGGTAATAAGGAGAATAGTCATTGAGATTTAACACGTCTTCCTTGCTGCTTGGCCATCTGACGAGACTCTGTGTGACACTCCGAGGTGCAATGTAACGCCAGTGATTTCTTGTAAGACGAATTGACGGAGATTGAACGAAATATGTAGGCGGCTGGCATGAACTGCCGCCCGTTCAGGTGTTTGGTCGTTTGCTTGTAGTTCGAATTCCGATTGCGTGTTTGTCAGATTGGTATGCGTCGATGTTTGGTCGCATGTGTAACGTTTGAATCGTGTATATAGATCGCTAGGTGACTTGAAGGCTCGAGCTGAAGTCACGGAAAACCTTTGAATATGATAGAGGTGGAGCGCTGGGCTCTCTGCAAGTCGAAAACCCTCGGTAATCCCAAGACTCATCTCGTGGCTTCTGCCCCTTGAACCTGTGTCTCCCGCGTGCCAATAGTGTCCCCCGAAATAGATATGGATGCTATCCAGTTCCCTAGTGCTGAAATTTAGCTTGGTAGAAAGCTCAATAAGGTAGTGAATAAGTCTTACCTTCGACGTCAGGAGTTGCGACACATGGGGGTTCGTTCAAAAACAACCTCAGGAGGAGGGCTCCATGTTGGAAACCTTCTATATAAGGTGATGTCCATCATTTAGGACCCTATCCTTCAAGAACATTGTCTTGAAAAAAGCCCCAGAGCCATTTAGTTTTCATTGCCAGCTGCTTTAATCATCGTACTCAGCCTAGAATCCTCACTTACCAGCCGGCCTTCACACCATATAGCGTCCAAAGAATCACTTTTGGCGCGCGGTAAAGGCTGAGCATCACAACACCTTCATGCTTTTGACCAGATTACCCCATGCGCCATAAACACGCCGAAATCGTATATGGCAGGAGTACCATGAGCGGATCGATAGTGTATCGGAAGTGGGATGCTCTCAAGAAACAGAACTATGCCCAGTTAGAAAACAAAACTTTCCAAGTACCTAACCAAAGCACAAGCCACACCTACATGGTAAACGACAACTCGTGAAGGTCCAAGACGAAGGGATCCAGTACGAGAGTGCCTTGAACATAGTGATGCGTAGCTCCGTCAAGTTCATACTAAGGAGTGATTGTAACAAGCATTGGTGGCTCTCGTCAGGACCTAAGCAGCATTGGCGGAGGCTAGAAGATGCTTCTCCATGCTTTGTAAAACATTTACTTGCTTCTCGGCAGAGCCATACGGTGTAGGTTTCGCCAAACCCAAGCCTCGAGACAACGGTATGGCGTGATTCGACGACTTCTGCGGTTCGTGCGGGAAAAACTCTTGGATTGTATGTTGGCAACCTCCTCTTCAACTAAGCGGGATCCGATGGGGCGGGCATTTGTGAGAGTCGGCGCCGTTGCGTAAAAAGTAGAGCTTGACGCCAAGTGTGTGTCTAGGAAAGGCGCATCGAATTGGAAATAATATGGGATGAAAAGAGTTGAGCAGCTGAGGATTTTGGCATGTTTAGATTTGTAGATAGATTATGCGGTTGTTTAAGAGACAACGCGGAAGGAGGTGTGGAAGCTGCGCCTTCCTGAATGTTGAATCGTGCTGTAGCTACGTGTGCTATCACAATAGGGGGTTTTAGTGACCTTTGAGTGCTAGGATGCCTACTTCAACCGCCTAAGACCTGGAATAGCAGCCTTAGGTAACTCTGGTGAAGAAGCCTCTGGGGCAGCGACCCCTAAGATTACTGCTCTACTATGGACATGTTTACATGTGCCGTACCTTTGTTCTATGCATTCCACTACCTTTATTACTTACATTTGAGTCGTTCCTCTCATTTGACCAAGCTAGATCTGTGTATCCCACGTGTCTGAGTTGGCTGTCAACCATTGATCCGGATCTGGCCGTGACGAGTTCTGGCACCAAAAACCAAGTCTGTGGGATGGGCAAGGCGTCGGCTTTTCACGTCCCGAGGTGTATAAATATTAGTAGCTATTTACTTACTCAGCGGCCTCCTTATTGAACTCTTGAGCGGTCACGTCAAATCTCCAAGGTATGAAGAAAAATGGTGAAGCATGATCTCTGTTGTCGCTTTGGGTCCATGGCGTGTGTGTATGGGAGCCTCGGCGGACGTAGCAAAAAAAAGAGGGCTACCGACATGTTCCAAATTGACGATTATAGCAATATGGAAGATCTGTATCAGCTCGATGCTAAGTTGATATAGAGCTGGTAAAGCTACCTACCTAGGTACATTAGGTATGTGTTAACAAAAAAAAAAAGATGCGGAACTCTATTTGCGCAGAGTTCGGACTCACATAAAACCACCCACAATCTGCAACTCACTTTATCGCCTGCTGAACTCCACTTCATCGCCTCCAATTCATCACCAACATCATACAAAACGCATACGCACACAACCGAAAACAAACCAACAAAATTCTTTATTACACACGCGCACTTGATTTCACAATAGAAAATTTCACGATGGAAGACCTTCACAAGGCCATGGATGCCCATATCGACCGTCATCCGGACCCTCGACGCGGTATGAAGTAACTCCAGCAGCTCTTCGAGGCTACACCTGAGATTCGCGAAGTTACACAGCTCCTCCCAGTTGACCAAATGGAAATAAGGCATGAGTATCTCCGGAAGATACAGAAAGGCCAAAGGGCTCTTTTTGGAAACCCTAACTGGAGATTTACACCACACCAATATACCTCTTGGTAAACTAGGAGAGATAGCTCAGCGAGATACGGACAACATACGTATCCATATCAAACATATCAGAACGTTCTTAGCCCATTGTAAGTATTACCTCTCGCCCTCCTTCAAGATCAGGCTAATCTGTCTGAGTTTTCCAACGCCAACAGCCCCAAGAAGGTATTAGCGAACCTGCAGGATCATCTATCGGTGCACAATCATCCGTCAGCAAGTCTACACAGAAGAAGCGACACCATAGAGGTACTGGCGAGTCTAAACCTAAGCGCATCTGCTCAGAGACTGCGATACCTGAAGTGAAGCTCCCTGAGTCACCCGCTGCCCGGTTCCAGAAGCGCGCGAGCTCAGTCGACCCGGAACAAAAAGCTCCCATATTACCTGCTAGCCCCCCAGCCAAGATTCCTCTCACACCATCAGCAACCAAGAAGCAGAAGAAGTATTAAAGGAGCCAACCTGCGCGAAACTCGGCCAAGGAGCACGACAAGAATCGCTGTATAATAACAGGCTCTGCAAACCCGCAGGGCTGTCATATTATACTGTTTACATGGAATTCTACAGATGAGCTACTCGCAATTGCTCGAGAACTTACACCAACAAACACTGAACTCTTTAGCCCCGATGATCCAGATATGGTGGTCCTTCTTTGTACTGAAGTGGGATTCTCAGATGAAGATTGGAATATACTTAATTTATCAGCTCAATTCCATATATGGTGGGGTAAAGGCTACTTTGACCTCAAGTTTATCGGATATGAGCCTGTTCAAGAAGAACTAGAAGGCTTGGTCGGTGACGGCCTGTTCGCGATATCCTGCAAGGCTGTGGCGGGGTCCAGCTTCTAGCTGGACTCTTCGTTACCGCACTGCTGTACTGACTCCAGCCAGTCCTTCACCCTGTCGTTCACCGAGGCAACTAATGGTAGTTGGTTATCGTTATTATCTTCATCGTCATCGCCAACCAGGAGCTCAGGATGGTTGGCTGCTCCCGATATTGATCCTACACAAATCGCAGCCCATCGGATCTGGATCATACCCTTGAATTTTTTTAATATCAAAGGTCTTCCGAAAGACTGGGAAGATATAACCTGACTCAATATTACAGTGCTCTCGGACTTTATGTCCCTGGACTTTGTTGATAGCTTCGCAGCGGTTGCAGTATGTTCAGCAGGGGGCCAAGTGGGTGAAATAAAACGTGGCACACAAGAGCTCTTTCCGCGTGAGACAGGGACCTCCCTTTTTAACTAAACACAATAAAAGGAGAATAATAAGAGAATAATAAACTATTCTATATTATTTAGCTTGATATTGTATTCAGGACTAGGTTATTCATTGTGATATTGTATTGGATTTCAGTGCTGAACTATCTCGATGTGCCATGTTTTATTTTACCCACTTGGTGGGTTCACCGCCGAAAATATGTTCAAGGCAGGCTCGAATATTTCCCTTTGCCTCATTCAAGTTGATTTGCGATGTCTTTTTTTCGTAATGGCTGTGTGGCATCCATACAAACTGGAGATCTGCCCTGCTCATTTCCGGATCAGCAAAGAGCCCTATCAAGTCTACGGCTCTCACTATCCGACCTACAAAGAAGAAGGATGAGAAGAAGGATGAGAAGAAGGATGAGAATGCTTGGACCACGTACGGCGAGAGGAGCTGAATACTGGACCCCCTTTTTGATGGATTCCGAGATTCTCGAACAGAGTATAGGCAGTAGTGCCAGGGATCTTCGAGTATAGTCTTAGATTAATCTGCATCCTTTATCGAGTTAGCGATTGATCATAGTTGCTTGTGGTTGTTTCCATCCAGGAGCTTATGTACATATGTTGGCACAGAAGGCCTCAGCTGATTAGAACAAAATAGTTCAAATTGGGTTGGGTTCTTGAATAAAATATATTCAGGTTAAGTAATAGGGTAAGAAAAGGTGAAATCAATCTTCGTTTGCTCGCGCCGTGTTTGCGTGTTTGTTCTGTGAACGTGCCGCCTTGTTGCAGAGCGCTTCACAAGCAAGGCGAAGCATCCAAATCACGTGATGTTTCTCTCGCCACGGTCCGCGGTAGCCCATTCTATCAGTCTGATTTATTGATGATCAATTATTGGTAAAACTCTTCCGTGTTCGCTTTCGTTGCTGACGATGACTATAGGCTGACCAAGTTCGTCCGCAGCGCCATCAGTTCTTCCAAACTCCCACTACCTGCACTTCCGCTACATGCTCGCAACCACGCCCTTTACTGTGCATACTTCGCCGAAAATTTCAGTTTGTCACTCCACTTGAAGATAGACACCTGCTAGGCTAGCCAGTACAGATACATGCATATTGTGTTAGTCTACCTCCCTGCAATTGAAGTCTTTCCATAATTGCAAAACCAATCCTTCGGTTCAATCAATGCCATTGAGGATACATTTCCGCTCCGAAATCCTAGCTTTGGGCACCTCCAGCTACAAAGGAACATCTGTTACCTATAGGAGTGACTTTACTCTAGCTTTTGTACCAACTAGACGGATTTAGGGCTGGCTTTTTGTTCTTCCAACACCCAGTCAGCAAACCCGGCCAGGGTACGTCTACTACGCTCTACGACACAAGCCTTTCAGAATTATGGGCTACCATAAATAAGACGAACTCGATTCTATGTAGGTCTAAATGCATAATACCTCCACGCTTCGCAACTCTTTCGTTGACGCTGAACATGGATGGTACAATGGACCATCCTTTATTGCGGGGATGCTATTTCGCACAAGCAGCATCCTATCGCCCGATGTCGGTGAGAGCAACCGCCATATCCCCCAATCAAAACCGATTCAACTGGCAACGTAATATCTCGGGATGAGAAAGATATGCGTGATATGCAGATCTATGTTTCTCGTGATGATCAGATGACGATACTGGTAGCATGGAGTCTACACGGGCCCATTGGACTTGAGAAATTCTCAGATACATGGCTATCTCCATTGGAGGCTCTACCTATTTCTTGGCTGCAATGGACGAAGGTTAGATTCATCCCGGAGGCCCTGCTTGGATCGAACGTGTTGCAATGAAATCCCAATTATGTCGTTACCGTGTCGGGTCGAACAGCGTCCTCCTCATCGTAGCATCCCACGTAAGAAGAGAAACGGTAGCGCGAATACTCGGTGATTTTATTGTGCAAGTACCTATGTATACTGAGACACAAATTGCCTTATCACGGCTCGCAGCCAGACTATTGGCAGCCTCTAGATGACGAGTCGTGCGGTGTTGCAAATAAATGAGCGGGGTTCATGCCCAGCTGCTACCTAACTGCACCTTGGCTTATGCATTTGGGGCACCGAGCGATCACTTGCAAGGAGCACGACTGTCTAGTCGGTGAGGCAAGCAGGCAGTAGTTCAGGTAGCTGTGGTGGCTTTCGTCTTGGGCCGTCCGCAGCCATCATGTCGCCTGCGCCCTCTCCTTTATGGCGGACGGAGAGAGCGGTGCGGGAGAGCGGAGATAAGAAAAAAGAAAAACAAGAGGAAAAAGCAAAACAACCTGTGGCCGGTAAATGATCGACTCACGGCCCAAGGTACGTCGTATTATCGGGAACGGATCGCGGGCTGGAAGGCTGGGAGCTGCACTTATCCAGCTGGTCCTTGGCTGGGGTGGGGCAGAAGTGCAACAGCATATGCAGCTTACACAGATCAATTGCGAGTTGCGGCTGCCCGATTGCCAACTGTCCATAGGCGACCAGAGCTGCTGCTTACTGTGCAGCATGTACCCGATGCCCTACTGCCCAACAGTTGCCTGGACGAGGTCCCCGGATTGATTGCTCCTCTCCGCTTCCATCAGCAGCTTCATTATCCATAGCTCGTCCTCGAGCACGCTTTCGCCGGACGCTGAGAAGTCTGCCAGTTAGTGATATATGTGTTCGCAGCATCCATAAACCTTACCGCCGCCGCATACCTACCCAATATGGACCTTCACCATTTGCTCGCGCCCAGCGACGACCAGATGGGTCCCTGCCCAGCAGACAGTACTCTTGCAGAGGTATGCCATTGCTTACACACCACGACCACAGATGCTGATTTGCCAGAAGAGCTCCACGGCCGCCAGCAACCGCGGCAAGAAACGGCGAGTTGCCCCATTCGATGATCTGGACCTCCTCGACCATGAACGAAAACGGAGTTGCAGATCCCCCAGGCTATCTACCCCGAACAGCCCCGCAGAAGAAGAAGAAGCAGAAGAGGTGGAGGAGGAGGAGGAAGATGCCGTCACTGAGGCTGGACCATCAAGCCTTCCATTCAACCCGGTTGAATTCTGGACAAAGCAGGGGACTTGGCCGCCACCACATTATTCTGTACCCAACTTCGAACGCATCCTTGCCCGGAGGTACTCGCATTCGTCCTTTGTCCGCAAGGCATTGGACTCGAACTCTTCCACGTCGTCTAGCGATGGGAAGCTGCCGAACCACAACGCAGCACCCTATCGTGATCCGCTTCATCCCACGTTTTTCAAGCCCGCAAACACTGTCATGGAAGAAGCAGCACCAAAGCCCGAGATCACGGATGAGAGCGAGTCCCAAGTCCGTGACCTCCTCACCCATGAACAAGTATTCCCCACCGGCACAATATTCGACGATGGGATTTTCGCCGCTGCTTGTCGTCAACTGGAGAATAAGAGCCATGCACGGATCGTCCAGGACATCTCTCGTCTGATTGTTCCCTCGGCGGAGACACTCGCCCTCCGAGACAGCAACCTCCGGAACCTAGTCGAGAGCGTTAAGGAACGCTGGGACAATTCCATCCCGGCGACACACATCATCCCTCAGCCTGACTACTCGGTCGGCTTCAGACGGGATGCATTCTCCGAGCAGCAGCTTATCAAGCTGTCCCCATTCCTCGGCAACTTCCTCGGCGGGGACCAGTCCTACTTCATGAGCACCTCCTACATGTACTTCCCATTCCTCACGTGCCAGGCCAGCTGCGGACCTGATGCACTTGATACTGCGGAGTATCACAATACCCACAGCACGGCCATTGCGGTGCGGGCTGTCGCTGAGCTCTTCCTGGCGGTCGGCCGCGAGAGAGAGGTCGAACGGAAGATCGTTGCCTTCTCCGTCTCCCATGATCATTGCTGCGTCAAGATTTGGGGCTACTTCCCGGTCTTCGAGAACGGGACTATCAAACAGTTTCGCCACCCAATACATCAATTTGACATTACAGCAATGGACGGCTGTGAGAGGTGGACAGCATATCAATTTGCAAAGAACGTCTATGAGAGGTGGGCTCCAGGCCACTTTGAAACCATCTGCTCGGCTGTCGACCAGCTCCCACAGGAATTGGATGTCGAGATCTTCACCCTCCGGAGCACAGGCCTTTCCCAGACTTTCGATCGCCAGAACTTGTCACAGTTCTCGAACGAGTCGGTCCGGGCTGAGCTATGCGCCAGCCAGTCAAGTATTCCCCAGGAGCCGAGCAATACTCCACTCACGGCCTATACAGTCCTTTAGATGGAACCAGGGGGGGGCGATATGGAGTAATATTCTTTTGTTTCTAGTACTATGGTGTCGGTTCAAGGTCATTGTCACGCCTTCATGAATGATAGTCCTTTTGTAGTCAACTTTTATTGCTAATTTGCTGTCTTTCAATCCTCGTAAAACTGTTTTCCTCTCAAATTACTCCGTAGTCCCTATGGGAGACACGGTTTCTAGTGCGATTGGCACTCGGTGAACATTAATGTAGACACCCATTGATAACCCTCAATTCATGATTCAGTCTCTTTCCGCAGAGCTTTTTCTTGGACACAACCATCCATAAGACGACAATTTCCATTGCAACTGCAAAAAGGCTCCTCCCCGTAAGTCTAGCACGCAACAGCCGACAGGGCCGTATTGCGAACGAGCTCCAATCCTTCATCCAGGCTTGCCACAGCCACAGATCTGCCAGAAAGAATTCGAACGCACCAAAAAAAAACGCATAAAAAACGAGCAATAACCGAAACGTGACAAACAAATGAAGCAGTAAACGATAAAAGCGGGTTAAGAACTGAGTTCGATAGTCCTCTCATCATGCGACTGGAACAATCAGTCAAAAATATTCGGAACCATCTCAAACTCGTTGCTGACCTTCCCTCGGGACTCCAGATACTCATCTCGGACATGGCGCGAGTTAACTCGTGACATGGGGTTTCTCTCGGTTACGTACTCGTCATCTTCGGTAATGAGGAATCCCAGGTCGTAGAGATATGCCAGATCGTTCTGAAGAACGATATTGAGTCGTACGTTGGCGTAATCTCTGTTCAATCGGGTGATTTCTGGACCATCGACATCCATGTCCATCTTCCAGGCATTGAAAACCAGTCGAATGTCGGTGAGCTTTTCGAAACGGCTACCACTTTCAATGACCGCGAGAAGCTCTTCCATTTGGTCCACGATTGCCACCCCACAGTCACGAACCAAGAGGCTTTCCAGCCTCTCCGGAAGACATTCAACGATCGTTCGCGCTCCCTCGATCTCCAATGGCATCTGCTCAGAGTCGTCCTCAGGCTTTGGCGGAAAAGCAAGCATTCCAGTGAGGGCTTGCATGCCTACGGTCAGCTTCTTCAAGAAGCGCAGCTTGTGAAGCCTCGGCCCCAGGTACAGCTTCTCGGGGCTCTCAACCCAATCCCAGTCCTTTTCGCCATTATCTTCCAAGTGTATGTAAAGCTCTTCAAGTGTATCAGCATGAGGCAGTAGAGCCTCGATGATATCTCTGGGTGTCATGAGATCAGGAGACGTCACAAGCCTGCCGTAGGTGAATTCGAACTTCTTTAACGCCTTGCAAGCGCCCACCATACCCTTAAGTGCTTCTGGGCAGAGATACGAACAATGTAAAACTATCTCTTCCACTGAAGAGGATCGACGCGGCAAGGCCTTGAACATTGTTGCGGCGACATAATCGCCGTTGGCCAGGACGCACTCGTAGAAACGCAGTCGGGGTAATGCCAGAAGGTCTGGGGCCTCAAGATAGAAGGTCATATAGCCATTCTTATAGTTGGGCGTCTCATGGAAGACATCTCGGACATTGGCGAGAGGGATAGCCATTTTCGGGTGGTTTCCGTCTCCCCATTCAGATCCTGGAGTCTGGATCGCTATGTTGATATGAAGGAGATTTCGAGCAAAACGAAGCAATTGACCAACATGCCTTGTGCCCTCCGGTTCCATATAGACAAGAGTCCGAATGTTTGTGCAGGAAAGTAGAATCAGGGCGAATTGGGAATCCGAAGTACCACTTTTGAGATCTGCCATCCACTGCTTGTACCATGAAAGGGTGTAGCCTGAAGGCAGCTGGCCTATGATATGCTCGATGTGATACCCGTAGACGTGGAGTTCGTCGTCTGACATTGTCTCATATCCTTTTTGTCGGCGATTAAAGCCAACGTATTTGTCGTCATACACAGAACACCTTCCTATGATGACTGTTCTGACATTCTTAGCCAGCCAAGGCTTTTGAATGAGAATGTATCGCAGGAACTGAATGTTGCGGGTGCGAGAGGCTGCGCTTGAGCCGCTGTAGCTTTTTACAGTGTTCCGAAATACACTAACCGAGATGGGGAGGGCAACTGCGTAGAGAACCTTGCAAGTTCTCAAGACCGCTTGAATGTCCGATTTGCCCTCTGACTCGTCGACAAGGTTCGAGAGGATGTGAGCAATGATCTCGCGCGGCAAGGTTAAGAGAGTCGTGGGCAGAACTGCCACAACTTCTGTTTGCTGCTCCATGGCTTCTTTTGGTTTTTGGTTCAAGGTCAAGAGGGTCGTGGGCGGAACTGCCACAGCTTCTGTTTGCTGCTCCATGGCTTCTGTTGGTCTTTGGTTTCACTGGCAATCTGCTCCCATTGGTATCAGATGGGCTCTGGAGTTTGGGCGATTGATGGGGAGCTGAGGCCAAGGAGTTTCAGGCAGGTGTCGGTTGGGGCATTCCAAAAAGATTGGTTGGAAAAATCGCTAACGCGATCAAAATTGTGATCAAAGGTGCCGTGTGGGTTCAGAAATCTGTATTGCAGTTCTGAAGAGGTGGTGGTGATGGGGAGTTGGATGCGAGGAGAGAGGTCGGGTTGGGGATGGGTTGGAGGGGAGAGGAAAGGAGGAAAGGTTGGGTTGGGGATGGGCTAGAGAGAAAAAGAGGATTGCGCTGGCCCACGATTGCAGAAAGAGAAGCAGGCAGAGCTCAGGTCGGTGGGCAGTGGCAGGCGGTAGATGGTTTCTTGACGCAGCACCTGAGGCAGCACCTTCCAAACCCCAAGCACTCGCGGAAGGTGCCACCCAGAACCCACGGCCGACACCAATTGTCAGCCTCAGTTCTAGGCATTCTGAAATTCAATGGCTCCATTCTACCAAACTGCCTGTATCAATGGCACCACAGAATATCTAGTATAGTACCGTTGCACAATGGTCATCTCTTCATGCTTGAAGGTGCAGAGGAACCAGATGTGCCACAGAATTCCAGAGCAGATGTATGATTATGCAGCAAATCCAGTATCAGTTTGTGCAATTTAAAAAAACAGACTCCCTACTTTCGTCTCGACTCAGGGTATATTCTTGTGCAGGACCGAGCCTACGTGACCCTTTCACCCCAATCGCATGCAGTTGCCCATAACACACTCGCTGAGGACGCGACTTTGCATAGTGCACTTTGCAAGAAATGCATACCTACCTAGTGCTTGTATGTGTCTTCCGTGCTGCTTAACCATTCTCTGCTAGGACAGCGACTCATTCTACACTGCACGTGCAAAAAATGTTGCGGGCCTTAACCGCATTGTAGGTAGGCTCTGTGCTATGCCTACCTACTAGGTGCCCCATCTTCTTCTCACCACCAATATTCTTACCCCTTATCCACACAGACTTGGCTACCTTTTGGCTTCCACCCTCGGGCCTTTACGAAACCCATGTACACGTTGCTGTATCCCCAGCTTTTCGAACCCTTCCCTCGATTTTCGCGATCCTGACCCACCAACTCGTTCGCCATAAGAAGTTAGGCGAGGCACCCATCACTAAAGACACCACGATCTCCCTATCCGCTTGGGATCTCTATAAACATTACACGACTTTCGAACGCATAACACAAGAAACAAATCTGTCATTGGGGTGGGGTGCTGTTCCTCGGCAGACCGGAGAGGCAGCCACTGCATAGCACCCCACTACAGCTCAAGGTAAATCATTATCATCCCAAGAAGCCAGCCAATGGACTGATAGGACCAGACACAGATGCAGTTATCGACCACTGTAAAAGCTACGTTGATCTTCAATTTAGCCTTGAGCCCGATTACACCCACTGCTAGAAGAGCACGACCGAGTTTCCACCTTAGACACACCGACGGAGGCTATATTGCGCAGTCAGATCACTAGGCTGAAGCGGCTCGTATGGGGATTCTAACTTTGAGGCACCCTCAGCTCGAATAATTCGAGCAGCTGGGGTGGCTTATTACCGACGTGGACGGGAGTCACGGCACCGAACATTGACACATACAGCGACCATATCTCGTCTTGCTAAGATAGCCTTATCCGAGAACCAGAACAACATTGTTGCAGGATACACACCCCTTCCTGCGAGCGAAGTACGTGACAAATCAAAGACGACAGCTTCGCTGCTGCCCAGACGAAAGAGTCCTCCGGCGACCCTCCAGCGGCCGAATCCCATACTTCGATAACATCTTATATGCCTCAATGTCGACTGACGTGGTGGCACCCTGGTCGTCTGTCCTCTGCCCCATGTGGAGCTACCAGGTCCACGGCGCCCCGAACTCATCGAGCTCGATCTACCGATGGAACTGCGGGTCACTCTCGCAGCCCAAGGCGGCCCAAGGGGATTCACGGGCCGTAGTGGCACCGAAGCTCGCCACCCTTAGCAGGATCGTCCTACCTGTTTCGTCGTGGTGTGGCCGTTGCCCCGGTTGATCACGGCCCCGCCCAAGAACCCAGCTAAGATCCAGCACCGCCCTGTTAATGGTTGATGAAGGGCTAGGCCCGGCGCCGAGAGATGGATGCGTCATGCTAGGTTGGCCGGGTGGAGTAGCCCAATATGGTTATGATTAAGGCATTTCCGGCAGCCCCTTAATCACAGTCCGGTGAGTAGTGCCCGGGGTTTCCGGACCAGCTCTCGATTGTTCTTAGGGATGGAATAAGTAGAGATCTTGGGCCCCTAGAAGGCGAGACGCTGCCAGAATAGCAACCCACTCGTTTCTACGAGTGTGCCAATCTGCATGTAAATATAAAGCCACAGAGTTCAAGGGTCGATGTTTGGAGGTGGACCCTTCTCTTGAACATGAGACCGCTGCATCAACTAGAACATCGTAACAAAACCGTCGTACTTTCCATGTCAGCTGTTGTATGTATCAACCTCTCTCGTCGCCAAGGCTACCTCAAGGGTTCGACATTTGGTTGTGTAGTCTCTCTTCGAGACCCAACCATCCCCCGCTCCGGTTATCTCAAGTCCAGTGAGGTCATCCACAGCTCTACCAAATTTCCGGGCACGACTTTGCACAACCTGGTGATTTCAATCTCAGAAACCCCTTCTCCCTTCAAGCATCGTTGCCTAGAATTATTCGAATCACAATGTAGTTGGTCGGCTCATAGAAGATCTTCCCGAGGACCGTACGATTGCTGTCTGTGGTTTACCCGAGGTAGAACTGATGCTGAGTCATCTAACCTGCGCGCAGGTTAGCTGAGTCAGCTCCAGGTGCAGTTTTGGGTCTACCCAAAGTGGGTGACAGAAGGGATGAGACACGAAACCCGGTCCATCACCGGCAAGGCTCTATATTTTATCCGCCACAACTTGACCCCAAATCTCCCTAAAAATTCAATAAAAAGGCTACGATATAATTCAAAGGCTAAAGAAAGAAGGGTCTTAATTTTAAAGCCTCTCTTTACTTCTTTTGCTGTGGTATATAGCCAAAAAGAAGGCGCAAGAATTTCGTGTCTCGTACCTCGTCACCTACTTGCTACCCTACATGCACGATACATGTACCTTTGGTAACCTGAGTAAAACTGCGTTTGAGGAAAAGAAATTAAGCACGTTCCTGGCTTGGAGTTGGACATCACGCGCTGTTGTTATTGGTGTCGCCTTGGAGGGGAATCTCGAAGCGAATAAGCATATCTGTGTCCAAGTATCAATGATTGATTACCTGAAGCTGGTTGTTCATCGTTGGACCTCTAAAGTGCTACCACACCACACAAAGTCACACATTTCGATTGCCACAACAAGGGAAATCCGACTACGAGGGAAATGAAACCATTAATTTCCAATTCCTCAATAGACTATGTGCGCTAAAATTCGATTGGATAGATCCTGTGAGGTATCATTCGGTGCGTTTGAGGTTTTTGAGGATGCACTGGGCAGATGCACCATCAGGCACTGTAAAACATGCACCCACTTTAGGTTCCTTGGCGGCCCTGCTCGACCACGTGCGAAAAAAAACAAGCACCTACCAAAGCCTTTTATTTTTCTCTCATAAAACAAGAGAAAATTACGAATGCCGGAATATATTTTCATGGCCGTGCGACTACTTGCTTAGACGAGTGTCCGGTGCCGCTGTATACTTCGGACGGAACAACTGCGCAGTACATGTAGATTCTGGTCGGGCATGCGCTGGCACCCTGGGTTCCTGGGCTCTCCAAATCAGTTACAGCTACAATGGAGGTCTACCGAGCTGTAATATGACAGTAATTTCAATTAGAACGAATCTAGGCGACAATGCATCCGATCCTCCTCAAAGTTTTAGCATTTCATTCGAAGTATCATACCTTCCTCTCCGAAGGTACTTAGAAGAACCCCCTGGACACTCGCTCTTGCCTGACATCTGCATGCCAAGTGAACAATGAACTCGGCTCAACTAAGGCAAATGACCAGCCACATGCTGCAGCCACATCTAGTATCCAGTGGCGCTGTCCTCGCATCTGCAAATTAACACCCTATTGTTGACGATGCTGGCAGAAACAAGCAAGCAATAACTGATCTGAACAGTAAGTCCAATCCGAGCACCACGCAACCCATTCAGGAGTCCTCATTAACGATCATCTTGGCAACTAGACATAGCTTTCTCTTCCATCTCCGATACGCCGAAGCCTTCGATCGTCCTTGGAAGCGCTTGGTATCGACCCGCGGCGAATCTACTCCAACACCGTCCCGAATATCCTGTACAAATCTTCGTACCCAAGCAAGTTGACCTCTTCCTACGAACGACAGGTGAGTGTAGGCCGAAGCAAGCTCTAGATACCGTGCTGGAGCATGGCTCGGCAGTCAATGTGTTGTTCTGAAGACTTATGATTCCCACTGATGACCAAGTGACATGATCACATCTTTTACTGCATCTAGATTTCTCCCTATACGAGTCCGGTATCCTCTCTTTCTTCGACAACTCCTCGCGGCCGGCCGCCGTCTCGATTCCAAACACACACGAATAGCATAGCCCCAGTCGACCGAGTTTCCGGTTAGAGCCGTTGGAGGTGGGATCTGGCAGAACAACAGGTGGCTCTCTTTCTGGCTGATGAGGATCTGTCTACGTGATCGATGACTTTTACGCCGGCAGTACGCCATTCTTCCGCTACGTTTCATGTCAAATGTAGGATGGTTAGCACTGAAAAGGCTGGCAGGTGGTATATCTGGGTATATCAAATTATGCACCAAGCACTATAGTTCAATCGAATCAATTCTACATGCAATAACTTGGTTGGCTATACACCAACCCAATACTGGAATACAGATCATGATGGGATGTTCAGTCAGCCAGTCAGAGCTTACCTAACGCTACGATGGAGTATCTGTGTATGGCACGTAGTATTCTGTGTGGTAAGGGTAGGAACGAGAGTAGATGGGGGATTCCCTCCTACCCGTGTAGCTCTGGCGTGCCCTCCCCTCTCATGGGGATCGTCGTCAGCCAGCTTGTTGATGGCATGAACGGTGCTACGTGAGCGGCCCAAGGCATTCATGCCTATGTCTTTCAACTCGTGTAACAGTAGGAATTTTGCTCGTCCCGTGTAGCCATAGGACCTTTTCAGAACGGACTGCATATGGGGAGGCGGGAACGGGCTTGGGGAAGGAACATAACGCCAAGTGAGTCATTGCTGGCGCCAGAGAATGTGGTACAGAAAGCTAGGCAGACACGTAGCAGGCTCGTGTTCACCAGAATATCTGCACGAGAAATGAGAGACTGAGACAAAAAAGACACGACACGGAGACACAGATGCGGGCTGCCGCCGGAGGCCCACCATGATGAAGCACTCCGATCCGCCTCCTGGCGCACAATCGCGCCGTTCAATGTCCGCGGCTTGCCAACAGTGAACACAAGCCCACATTCAACGACACCCCCTTGGCCATTGCTCGATTGAGAGAGACAGCTTCGTGCTGCTGATCCTTTCCTCCCGAACATGGGAACGCACTCATCCGCACCGACGCCGTGCCTTGATCCCCGCAGGTCTCCACCCCCTTCCGGGATGCCGGTGGGTGAGCTGGCCCGTCACAGACGTCCACTGGTCATGACCTGTGACGACGGCTGATGTCTGTCTCGGGAGCTTGCTGGGAATTGCAATTTGCGAACCAAGATAGGTATACGCGTCCGCTGGTCAGGATCTGTGACGACGGCTCGTGTCCGTCTCGGGAGCCTGCTGGGAATTGCAATTTGCGAACCAATATGGGTATGGGCATCCGCGGCTCGCACGGCTGAACGCACACAGCGTTCAACAACCTCTGCCACGACGATCACGATCCGCCTGGTGCCAAGATCAAGGCCATAACAATTCCAATCGCCGATGACCACCCTCTCTGGTAACACGGGAGACGCAATGAAAGACGCGGTGGGCGCTGTCCGTAGCTAATAACGCCGTGCCGACCAGCCGTGGCAACTGCACGCTCCCGCTTTGCCTTGCCTCAAGATGCAGAGATATTCCTATCGAGACGGATTGCACTGAGATATTAGGTAGCTTCATGCCGTGCCTCAGTCACAGCAATGCAGTCCTCTTTCCGCCGGACTGTAATCTCCGCGGGCCTAGAACCAGCGTACCAGCGTACCAGCACATCGTTGACATTGCTGCTCTTTGTACTTGTACTTCTGCTAGTTCTGCTCCTCCTGTGACAGTTTCTGCTGCAGACCAGTCCTGGAGCTCTAGTCAAAGAGATACACCTGAATAACGGTGACTGTAAAGAAATTTCCATATGCAAGATTAGCGAGATGCACCAAGCATTGGGGAGAGCCGGTTGAGCTACTCAGTAACAAAGTACATGAGGCAGTGCGGAGATACGTAACGTCTTGCCTCTCACTGAAGCCCAAAGCGCGATCGAAAGGGTCGCCTTGCATCCGTCTTGGCGTTTCCGAATATATTGATGTGATCCACTGGCCCATCTTGGTAGCCGTCGTGATACCCGATGCTCACGCCAGCGCATCACAGCCATCGCGATCCTGCATATTGCATCGTTTCGAACGCCGCCACCGATTTTTCGTGCAAGTAATGGTCGGCGTTAAGGGGAGTTCGGGGGTTGAAGCCTGAGGAAGAGGGAGGAAGAAAGAGGAAGAGAGAGGGAAAGAGAGGGCAAAATTGGACCATAAATAGAGCCCTTTCCTCCCTCCTTCGACCTCTTCTTTTTCCCATCATTCTCATCACCACCATCTTCTGAGCACTATAAGACTAGCACTTCCCTCCCTTCATCCAACTCTTCTTTCTTCCACCATCACTCTTCTTCTCATCACCTTCTCCAAAGCAGTATAAGACTGGCCCTTCCCCCCTTCATCGACCTCTTCTCTTCTCTCCCATCATCCTCATCACTTCTGCTAAACCGTGTAAGTACAACCCCCCTCCACCAACCTTCATCATCATCATCATCAACCTTCTTCATCATCATCATAATCATCATCTTCTTCTTCTTCCATCTCATCACATCCCAAGCTCTTACATCCTTCACCCACCCTCTTGATCTCTCAAAGACACCACAAGACCACTCCACAAGATCACCACTCTTTCCCAGTATCCTCCTCCTAGTTCAAGTCACTCCAAGTGTCTGACATTATGCCATTTAGTATCGCCATGGCCTGGCAACTCGGCCCTCCCCTTCGCAGCATGCCTCGCAAGCTGCCCACCACCTATGCCCATCCCCCCTCCATCCCATCCAACGCCTCAGCTGTCTGCACTCATTGTAGACAAGACAGTGAGGGAGCACACCATGCCGCTGCCCAGCAAGACGCAACCTCCTCGGTGGCGTCTTGGGTCGTCGAGACTGCAGACGAGCATGCCAATGACGCTCTCCTCTCTGACCCGGTCATTGTCGACATGGCAGAGGTGGAGAGTGTCGGCTCCGACACTGAGGACTCTGGCTCGTCGCACATGCTTGCTACCGCGCCGAGTCCTTCAGCCTTAGCTGACGCTCCGGGTTGGTGTCACCATGTCCCTTCTTCCCCTGACCTGAGCGACGCTGGCTTCACTCTTGTTCCCCGGCCGGCTCCTGCTGCGCTCTCGAACCGGGAGTGCAGCGGCGACATTGGCCTCGTCGACCCCACCCCCACACAGGGCTTACATGCCGTCTGTGACATGTTGGACGCGCTGCACATCTCGGCTTCCCTTGCCACGTCCAAGATGGTGGTCGACAGCATGGAGTCCGTTGGCCGTGCGACGACCAAGGCAGCCCCTCCCACCCCCGAGATGCACCTCCCAGACTCGCCCACCCTGCCACAGATGTTCTGTGACCTTCCACAAGGTGACAGACATCTCGCTGTCCCGAGCCTTGGCACTCCTCTTGGGGAGTCTGATGCCGACGCCGACGCTGATGGCGGCCCTGAGTGTGCCGGTGCCATGGCCAGACGCCGTCGCCGCCGCCGCGCACCTCGTGCTCCGAAAGCTTGGAGGCGCACCCCCACCGTCCCGGGTTCCTCGCCGGAGCCCGCCCGTTTGACTCGTGACGAGCGAGCCGCACCTGTCCTTTCCCGCCGTCGCCCTGCCCCAGAAGACGACAGTGACGAGGCTCTGGACGTCGCTCCCAGGCCCAAGAGGCGCCGCAGGGGACAAGCTGCACATGCTTGGAGAACCGTCCCCCCCCTGCCATACTCTTCCCTTCGGCCTCCTCCTGAGCATCGGTTGTAAGTCTTCGGGCTGACGTCGCCTTCTCCTGCCAGCAGACGACGGTCAATTGGCTCCTGGTCCTGCCATGGAGCCCGAGCGACTCGAGAAGCAACACCTCTCAATAGATTGGAGATTCGTCTCGTCTCCTATCGTGCTACTCGATTCATGTGTCTCCTCTTGAGCTCACGCAGGAACTATGTCGGCTGACATGGTCTTCTTCCGTCAGCAGACGACAGCCACTTCAGCCTCTTGATCCCTATCCCTCCCATGACATCCGAGCGACTCGAGCATGAACACGATTCAACAGTTTGGAGATTCATCCCTCTCCTCCCGTGCTCCTCCTCCCTTGATGTGTCTCCTCTTGAGCGCACCCAGGAACTCTGTCGGCTGGTATGATCTTCTTCCGTCAGCAGGCGATGGCCATTTCACTCTTGTCCCTTCCTTCTGCTTGTTCAACGAACATCGGATTGTAGGCCCCCCAGGCCGAGTTCTCAGTCATGTGCTACTTGTGGTCATTTGGGGTCACACCCCGGAACCCGAGCGATTCGAGCAGCAACACACACCTCTAAACGGTTTGGAGATTCGTACCTCTCCCACCATGCTCCTCCTCCCTTGATGTGCCTCCTCTCGAGTGCACAAAGAAATTCTGTCGGCTCCCATGGTCTTCTGCCGTCAGCGGATGACAGCCGCCTCGTTCCTGACCCTAGGCTTTGGGATGACGGAACACTGTGGTCCTCGGGTTGGTGACACTCCTCAACTGCTCGGGTTTATCAGGCTCCGCACCCGGCTTTTCTCCTGAGCCGTTCGGCTTGACCTCGAAGAATTGGTGTGGTTTACATCTTCATCTTTCTTGTCTCCCTTTTTACGCCTTTTGGTCAACAAGTGAGACTTTTGGAATCATGGACGAAGCTCCTTGGACCAGACCCATTTGGCGCAGTCACGGACGGTGAAATTACACTGGCCTGCCAGGCTCTCATACGGCTCTCCTCATTCTGGAGTGAGGGATGCGGAATTGAGTTTGGCGTGGTTTTGTTTCCTTGGCACTCCCCAAGTACTCGAAACCAAGAAGGCGCCCTCGATTACAATCGAGAATGTCCCGGTCTTCTTTTTTCCTTTTCCGCTGCTGGTCAACGACAGCCAGCATGCTCTCTGGCTCTCCTCATCTGGAGTCAAGAACGCATATTGTGGGCGATGTGCGCCAATGGCTTGAGGGGACGGATCCAGGCTTGGTCCAACCTCCTACTCTCTGCTTGAGTTCTCCTAGGCATACCGCAAAGCCTGGAAGAGCCTGGAAGATTTGATTTGGGAGACAAGAAGTCAACGAGCCTCTTCACGGTGCCATCTTGCATCATTGCTGTTGGTGCTACCTTCCAGCATGAGCGATGCAAGGACCACGATGGCCAATCCAGGTTGGATATGTACAGGTACGTTGACCCTTAATGACTCCTCGCTTTGGTATGCTTTGAAGAGTTCATTTGACTGATCAATCTTTCATAGCAGCAACCTGGATCATGGGATGGCGTCCCCAACTACATATAGGTCATGGACGACTGGGGTAAGGGGGTCTAAACAAGTTGGAGATGCACAGGTACGTTGACCATACATGACTCTTGCTGATCATCCGGTATACTTTGAAGAGTTCATTTGACTGATCAATCTTTCACAGCAGCAACCTGGAGCATGGGAGGGCGGTCCCGACCTCCCAACGACCATGGGCGACTCGAGGCCCAAAAAGCTTGGAGACATGCCCAGCTCCCTCCTTCCATCCAAGCTCTTCTTCTTCGAGATAGAGAGATGATTTTTATTCGGTGCCAGATTTTGCTTCTTTTTCTGGGCAAGAGATGGTTTTGATTTGGTTCCAGATTTTGCTTCTTTTTCTGGGCAAGAGATGGTTTTGATTTGGTTCCTGATTTTGCTCGGAGCCCATCCCGCGTAATTGGTTACGCTGCCAGCTCGCCGCGCAATCTCGCCATAGAACCTGAAGAGCGCACTAGGAGCGAAGAGAGACAAACTCCAAACCTATGGGAAGCCTAGAAGCATGAGTATATTGCAAGGCTTCCTATCCGACTCTTCGCCCTGAGAGTCTTGGCCCGAGAGGCCCTTCATCTGAGCCCTTCCGTCTATGTACCAACATTGGTCGATCGAAGCCCAGTTGCATCATTCTGCCACAGCACACGACCTGTACAATTGGACCGCAACCCGCAAGCAGCCCGATGCGGCGCTCAAGGCACATCGTGAGCTGGCGATTTCCGGAGCGGCTGAAGACAATTACGCTCTCGCCCGGCTTCCTGCTCGACTTCTCTCGCGGCCCTACCCCACAAGCCGACGAAGCGTTGATTTGGGACGGCAGTTCCTTCGAGAAGGGCTTCTCATGCCATGGGACCACCGATTACACGTTTCCTGATTTACGTGTTCCAGCATCGTCTTGTATGATTGGGGGTTTGGAGACATACTACACCCGAGATGTGTTTCCTGTATTACTCCTCCCGCTCATCGGACCCTCAATCCTTTGACTTTGAGGAGTCGATTTAGGCTTGGTGGTGGAGATCTGCTCATCATTGCGCCTTCCCATGCAATTGGATCCCCCTGCAGGCTTTTGGTCGGAGCTTGCCAAGCTGCTTCCATTGTTGGAACGCGGCTGGAGCGTGGAACGCATCGATCATGGCCAGCCGTCATGACTGCGGAGCTGGCCATGTGGCGGATGATGGGTTCTGTTCTGCCAGAGCAGCGTAGCTCCGGCAACGATCAAGCTGGGATATCGTTTCGTCCCGTGAGCTCGTTGCCTGTCATCTCTCTCTCGGGCGTTGCTTTGAAGGTCGCGAGGATTTGATCCGAGATGTCGGTGTCTTTTCATCGTCGTCCCTCGTCAGGAGTCCGCAGCTATCAGGCGTCTGGCTCTGCTGCAGAACCAAAAGGACTGGAGGCTCTGCGGCCTGTTTGCTCTAGGAGGAGGAGCCGTGGGACGCTTCCAAATCAACAATACATTTTAATGCGTGTCGACATTCAAAACGCGTTCCACAATGGAGATTGCCCATGTCGCAGGAAAAGTCCTGGCCCTGGAGTTCGGGCTTCTCGGGTGCCCTCAGCCGTCCAAACTGGCACAGGTACAGTACCATTTCCCCTGACACAAATTATTTGGCTGTGAATGCTGACCGTTTCCAGGCACGCCTTCTTCACTTGGCTTGGCTACCGCTACAAGCGACTTGATCGTGTAGCCGCTCACTTGGGTGTTGCTCCTCCGGTTCTGATATCGTATACGATCGATATCTCCCACCTATACATCCCCCCTATCCACCAGCCCGCTATTGATACCTATACCACTCGTCGGAGCCTCAGCTCGAGTCCCCTCATTCAGGGGGGTTCTCGTCGGCCTTTGGCCAACATCAAGCGGAGGTTGAATCTACATTCCTGCTCTCAGCTCATCTGTCAAAGTCCACTGGCGCTGGCTCTGTTGGCCAAGTAGCCCAATCACCCATCCCATCAATCAGCAGCTTGAATACCGTTCCCCGCAAGCTTTGCCGCTATTCTGGAGAGTTTTGGAGATCATCATGGGGGCATGGCCGTCCGGCGTTTACTCCTGCTTGGAGTGAGCTTTTTGGCTAAATGTCCGTTGATGGAGCGGATGGAATCTTTTGGGACCACCAGGATGCGCCGAAGAGGCGCGAATCGAGGGCGGGAACAACCAACGCTGAAGGGGGGGACGGCGAAAGGGAAAGATGGAGGTCCTTTGTCTTTTCTCCCAACTGGGTGACACTTATCATTGTGAGCATTGTGGAAAGCTCACCACATCTCGGCATCTTCCACGTCCATCTCCCAACTATGGACGCAAAACAGGGATGAAGGTTGGATAAGCAGTCTGCCTATCAACTCCCGAATCGATGCAAGCCTACGTTCTCGGCACGTTGGCTTCGGGGCGCGCACCTCTCTATGCGCCCCCTCACCTCCATCTGTTCAGCGAAGACGACGTCGGCGAATGTGTGGGAGGTCGGTCTGGATAGGCCATTTGTTGACGGCAATGGTGAGCCATGCGTGAATGGCGACCCATGCATGAACTGGCCGACGAGCTGGCCCAAGAACAAAGTGCTGAACGGGGGGATGGAATATGGGATGCCCAATGAAGAGTTGATGAAAGTGTTCGCACCGACCACAACAACCTAATGCGGCGGATCATGAAGCGTCCGCAAAACGACCGGCAGGGTGGCGCAGCTCCAGTATATATACGGGAGAGCGAGCGCCTCTAAAACGCCTGACGAGGTGCTGGTGGGTGGGCTTCCCATGTCGCATCACGATTAGGGAGGAATGGGAAGCAACTTCCCCTGAAGAGAGCCTGCGAGCTCTCAAGGACAGGGCCGTCTATTTAGGCTGACTGGATTCAATGTCGAGGGAGAGTAACCGCCCACCGCAGAGTCGGACGACTTTGAATCCTTACGGCCGCAAAAACATCCGATGGAGGGACGCAGCGCAAGATGCGAAGTATTGCGCTGGAGTGCTTTTCGAGTCGAGCTTCGCTTTGGAGCAGAGGATGAGACTTTCTCCCGCAAACCTCTCAAACCTCTCTATCCTCAATGGAGGTGCGTCAAGAGCTTCCCAATTCCGAAATCCTTTGGGCGAGCCTTCCCTTCTACCTCCCGTTCTACCACATTGGAGCGGGAGCCCGACAACGACAAGAGCCGGCCAGCTGTCCCATTCGCAGCAGGGCCAATGCAGAGGTGGCAAAGGGCCAGCACAGCAACAACAGCAGTAGACTTGGGGACTGTATCACGCTTAATGGGAGCTGAGACTCGGGGAGTGCAATTACTTTCACGGGTCTGAGGCGTGGGGAGCATATCACTCTCACTGGGAGCTGAGACTCGAGGAATGCATCACTCTCATTGGGGTCTGCCCGGAGAAGAATGATGCATGAGGCGGATATCAAAGAGCGGGCCAGCTCTCCCATTCGCAAGACGGCCGATGGGAAGATGTGCCAAGAGCCAACAGCAGAGGACTCGGTGAGCATGGCCCGCACAGAAGAAAAATCGTCTTCTGTTGGAGAATCATAGGCGCCCACAGCCTATCCAGGATCTATCGCCAACACAACGCATGGAAAGGCAGGCCACGATGTGCGTTTCGAATGGCTGCCGATCGCAGAACGACTAGGGGGGAGAGATGCGTCGCTTGAAACAAACCTAATGTTTCGGCCGGCTTGCCCGCACAGAAGATTTCCCGTTGAAGAAGGATTATAGAGAGAGATGTGGCGCCAGCAGCCAAATCCATTGTTCTGTCGGGTTGGCCACACAGAAGAACTCCCGTTGACTGAGATAGAATACAAGCTTCCGTTCAATGAGATGGAATATAAGCTGCTGACGAATGAGACGGGAAATTGGCTGCCTGCTCCAGAGCCGCCAAAGCTTGGACATGGCAGACCAGATGAACTGTGCCGTGAGAGAAAGATCTGATCTCTCCCTGGGGGATGTCTGGCCGCATCTCAAGACACGGTGTTGGGACTGAGGAAGGAGATGATGGCATGCGGGGTGTTTGGTAGATCTGCACTACTACCTGGACCTGGGAAAGAAGTCGATCCTGCCTCCCTCGAGTCATGGGGTTGGGATTGCTGCTCTGAAGCGAAGATGCGAGAAGACTGCACCGTGTATGCGAGCTCTCTAGGTCGTCTTGCTGGTGGAACTGGAAATGAGATGGTTGATTCTGTTCCTGCACGAGAACTTCTCTCAATCGGATCGGAATAGAATTGAGATGCTATGGTTCCTCTGTGGTAACTCTTCGGCAAGCACCAATTCATCTCTCGATCGAAATAGAATCGAGATGCTATGGTTCCTCTGTGGTCAAGTCTTGATTATCTTCCTGCACGAGAACTTCTCTCAATCGGATCGGAATAGAATCGAGATGCTATGGGATCGCAATAGAATTGAGATGCTATGGGATCGTAATAGAATCGAGATGCTATGGTTCCTCTGCGGTCAACTCTTCGACAAGCACCAATCTATCAAGGGCGCGATTGAGCTTTTCAACGAAGCGGGGAGGCGAAGACATGTTGGCCCTTCAGATGTCCCCTACTTGGACCCGACAGCGGTCTTCCGGAATAGGTGTTGCTCAATATGTGAGCATTGAGAAATATGTGGTTGTCGCGCTTGCCTTGCCAATCACCTAAACCCAAGACATCCCCTCGATCTTGTCGTTAATGGGTGGTTGGCATGGCATGGACATCGACGATGTTGCGCGGAAAAATCAAGGATGGCGAACGAAGCAGATGCACCAGATGCCTCTGTCAAGTGCCTCAGGGCTATCGCACTTCGACGAGGACAACAACATTGTCGAGGGGATTCGTGCTCGTCTAACGTGGTTGTTGTTGGGGTTGTTTGGATCGGAGGATGTGGATGAGATGAGGGATTGGGACCTTCCAGGGCGGTTCGCACGCATGGGGGCGTGGGTGGTGGGTGGGACTCTTTTCTCCATGATGGAGGATTGGTTTTCAATGTTTTCTTTTGTTCTCAATTGTCTCGTGGGTGGGCGAGTTGCTGATACACCCGACATTCTGGGTTGTGGATGGGAGGCAGGAACTTTCTGTTGCCTGCAAGCTGCGGGACGTACGATGCAGCTCGATCCTGCTGCGCTGTTCCTACAGGTATCCCACCATACGCTGTTGCTCTATACCGCCCTACACCAGACGCTGTCGGGTGGCTCTGGTGAAGGTTCGAGGCAGTCGCAGCTGCAGCTTGCTTCAATTTACAGGGATCTCAACCACCAGAAGCGAGCAACTATCCGAATCCGGCAAACACGCTAGAGCGCCACGATGGGGACTTTCCAGCCAATGAGAGCCCGTTATTCTGGGAAGAGCTGGACAAGCCCAGCAACATGTCCGGATTCACATGGCCATCAATTGGGCCGTGAGGAAGACATAAGCCGTATGTCGACCAATATGTTGAGTCTTGACTCTCTCCTGACTGATTGAGTGAGAAGAGACTGGGGCCCATGGTCCAGGCCAGGCTCTCTCTCGAATACGTTGCTCCCGGATCCCGATTTACTCTACGGGGGCACACAGTCGGCACCTCCGACTAATGTGCCGGTCTATGTGCCTTCGACGACAAGTCGGGTCCGGGAGTCGTTCGAGATTCATTCCCTGGCACACAAAAAAAAAAGGAAAAGGAAAAACAGCACCAAGAAGAAAGAATCTCGATGGTTTGCTTCCGGCTGAGCACTTTGGAAGTATTCTGGGGTGGGGGAAGGGACTGCAACACCAGGAATGTTGCTCTGTCACGGAGACTGGTTCACCACGACCTGCTACATCCGTCACGGTTGATGGAAGTCGCATCGATTGCGATTGAGCGTGGGGGCGGTGTATCACAGCCCAACATTCGCCCTCATGTCTGCGGGCTGCGCAACTCTTGCTCGACTTAATGCCTTGGCTGTGCTGCGTTTGCTTGACTTCATTTGTCTCTGCGCCGAATTTGCTCGACTTTATATGTGTCTGCGTTGCATTTGCTCGACTTCATTTGTGTCTGCGCTACATTTACTCGACTTCATTCTGTGGTCTGCGCTCCCTTTCCTTGACTTCATCTGTGGTCTGCGCTGCATTTACTCGACTTCATTTGTGTCTGCGCTACATTTGCTCGACTTCATTCTGTGGTCTGCGCGGCCTTTCCCCAACTTCATGTGTGGCCTCGGAACTATCTACTTACCGGTGAGAGGCGTGCCAGCCATGCCAACTCAGAGGATAGCACGATCCGAGACACTATCTCCTTCTCCTCTCCTACTCGCCTCTCCTCTCCTACTTTGGCGGCTCTCCTCCACTTTGATGAGTCGTTCAGAATCTACTACGCGGTGGACAAGTAGGAGACGCTCAACAACATTGTTTCTCTTTTATCTCGTCGGGCGGGGACCAAATATCCCCCCAAAGTATGATGGTGTACCGGGCCTTCCCTGCTTGATGCGCTCAGCCCTCTTCTACGTTGGCGAATTCTATTCTATTCCGGACCTGTCGATCTCGATCTACCTCTCGGGTGCGCGGTCAAGCACCCGATTTCGCCCTCATAATGTTTCCCTTCGACTTGGTTGTGAGTGAGCACCCAACTTCAACATTCATAATGTTTCTCTTCGACTTCTTCATGAGCGAGAGTGGTCCCCCATAATGTTTCTCTTCGACTCGGGTGTGGGCGAGCGCCCGTTTTCGCCTTCATAATGTTTCTCTTCGACTTCGTTGTGAGTGAGAATGGTCGCTCATAATGTTTCTCTTCGACTCCTCTGTGGAGAAAGAGTGGTTTCTCATCGGCTAATACAACCAAATTCCCTGGCCGAGGGGAACTTGGAATGGTTGGTGAGGGAGTGGCGCGCTCCAAAGCCCAAGTCGCCGACTCCTTCACCGCCGAACGGTTGCAAACTTTATTATTCTGGCTGCGGGATGATAGCCACCATTTCGCGAGTCATATTTCTTCTTCGATTCTCAGCGATGGACGGGGATTGGCGCTTACACGGCTCCTTGTGCCCAGCAACTATGGAATATGATTCGCGGGTCTACTGCGCGACGTGGGACTGAGCCCGGCGGGAAATTCTTGCCGAATCCTGTTCGGGTGGCGGGTTGCTCTAGATGGAGAGGGAGGAGAACGCCTGCTTCGTGTGCAGAGAAGCCCTATTCATGGAATAGGTGTTTGGGTTGTGAGGTGCAGGATATGCAAGCTAACGGATTGGGCCCCCTTGGGTCCGCTTGCTTGGAAAGAACCAAAATCTGTGCATTGGGCTCCTCGCTCCCTAATGCTATAATGTTTCAACCATTATCGTTTGTCCCCAACAGTCAAACTCGCGAAGTGCTCTGCCTCGTCCTTCGGTATACGACGACAATGGGGTGAGGTTTCCCCGACTGTCCACCTTCGACACACTCTCTACGATGCTGCAACTACTACTCCCAGCAGCCTTGCTGGCCTTGTACTGTGGTTGTTTTGCCTCAAAAAATAGCTTCTGGGCCCAAGATCCATTCTACGACAGTATCTCGACCGTTCTCTTGGATCATTAGGAGACTTTGTCCTTCATGTGCTTCATGTGCCCTTGGGTTCCCGGTGTGCAAAGTCTTACAACGCGCAGGTGAAAGACGACGCGAACGGGGTTTCTTTGCGGCTTCGAGTCCTACAACCGTGTCACCGACTACATATCAAGCACCGCTGCGCGTCGCCTCTATTCACGATTCACGTGCCTCGGGGTTCCTGTTGTCTCGAAATTGATAACATCCTACTGCTTGGGGAGCTAGACTGGCTTCCCAATACGGTTGTGTGGATTAAACTTGTGTTTCAATGACGGAGAAGCTTCACCATTACTGGCTTTTCCTTTGCTGTGCTGGACGGATCGAATTCTTCGCCCCTATGGCCTGGCCCATCTCTCGCCAGCGCCACATCCCTCCTCACACCTACCACCGCCAATCACCTACATAGACTGAGCGACTCCACTGTCGCCCTAGCCTTCTGGAGGTCTCTACGCTCTACAAATGCTTTAGGAGCCTGCTGCCATCATTGATGTTGTTGCAGCCTTCTGTTCGCTTTCGCCTTGCAAGTGGGTTAGCCACGTATCTCTCTGCTTGGTCTCTGCCTTCTAGAGGTCTTACGCTATACAAATGCTTTAAGGAGCCTGCCGCCGTCACTAATGATCTTACCGGCTGCTGTTCGTTCTCGCCATGCAAGTGGGTTAGCCACGTATCTCTCTGCCTTGGCCTTCTGGGAGCTATTCCAATGGATTGGAGGAGGAGGACTAGCGGCTTTTATTGCCAGCTATCATCGCGGATGTGGAAATGGGCAATATCGATTTCCCCCGCAACTTCGTTGAAAGTACAGCCCCTCATGATGAAGGCATTATCAGGTTTGCCGCATCAAGAATGCGAGTTTTACAGCCGACACCAGAAGTCCATGCGACTTCGTTCTGGGTATCCGAGTCGAAAAGTTTTACCACAAGAAGAAGTATATTTTTGTTTGGCAAAATAACCCCTCACAACAAACCGGAGACGAGCACAGTTGAGGCTCTTGAAGGTTTACGATCTTGGGCTTAGACGCCATAGCCGAAGCCGCAGACTTGGCCGTAGGCGTTGTCGCCCTTCTCGGGCTAGGAAGTTCCATCGTCGATATTTACCCTTGGCGCGTTCATAGAGGATACCAATGATCTCCCTGTCCTCAACAAGGGTGCCGCACACGTGCCCATCCCACCGTCAGACATATACTCGGACGTCAAAACAGGCGTCAAGGCAAACGTCAACTCGTCAAGCAGCTATAAGACGCGGGTCCTAGCCAAGTTCCTTGACCGCAGTATCGGCGGCAACGCGAAGCTCAAGGGGCACAAGTCCGACAATGTGGTTCAACTTATTCGCAACCTGGACGACTTTGCTGACGACTACCTCATTGCGGCTTCAAAGCTCGGTGTCACAGCAGCCCGATTTACCTGCTCGACGCATCACACATTCCCTCAAAGGGAGGGGTTCCTGCGACAAATTCCAGATGTTGAAGTCGTTCTGGTGGTCCTCATATGCCTCAAGGTGACGCTGGTGATGACGCTGGTGTGATTTTGATCAAAAACGACAAGAACAAGTCACCCAATCTGAGCCTGAACATACAGGAGCACTTGGACCCCAAATTTGGAGATTTATATCTATCTTTGGGTCCTCATTGGCTTTTTTTTTCGACTTGGATTTCTCTTTGATTTTTCTCGGGGTATGAGTGGGGGGCCAGGAGGAGTACAGCGCCATCCTCTGGGGGTGTTTGGGACGGAGGCTATCTTGAAAAAGATCTGCTTTGGGGAGCTGAGCTACAGGATATGAGGATCCCCTGCTGTAGCTTGCCAGGTTTGGATAGGCACTATCGCATACACTGGTGTGGAGGGTTGGGTTGGACTTGGAGAGCAGCCACCATCATCATCTTATCACTTGGATGTCTGCAAGCGATATACTTTAGAGACTGGGTCTCCGTCCATTGGGCTGTGTTATGGCCCTTGATGATTTCGGATAACTGTTGGGTGACTTTAATAATTGGTTTAGAGTCGGAGATGGCGGCGCCAGGACCAGAGGAACATTGGTTGGATTTTTGCAATTAATCCGCTTTGGGGGGGCGAGCTCCAGGATATGAGAGTTCCCGGCTGCGGCTTGCCAGGTTTGGACAGGCACTACCGCATACACTGGCGTGGTTGGGCTGAAGTTGGAGAGTATCACCAAATTCTCCTGGCCGGAATCGATATCCGAGCACCCAGGAAACACTTCAAACCCTGTGCCACCACACAACGGCCTGCCTCCTCTTCAACTTTTCTGCCTCAACGGAGAAAATCTGAGCGAAGAAAGGATCCCAGAGGTGATCCGGGATAACGTGGATAACATCAACACTGTGGATATATGCGGACGGGCGGCGATCCATTAGCTATCCAAAGAGATCATGGTCGCAAGTTCGAGCTGGTGGAGAAGTTGATTTACTCCAGGTCGGTTGGATGTCTGCAAGCGATGTACTTTAGTGACTGGGTCCCTTAATTATTGGGCTGCGTTATGACCCTTGACTATTCGGATAAATGTTGCTGGACTTGAATAATTAGCTTGGAGTCGGAGATGGCGGCGCCAGTGCCAGAGGAGCATTGGTTGGATATTTGCAATTGAATGCTCTAGGCTTCTAGTGTCAAGAGCTGCGATGTTATGACCACTTAGTGATACCCATAAATAAAACTTACATAAAACCGATCCTCTATCTCGAGTTCCATCTCTAATTGAGAAGTTGTGCTGTGTTGTATTGCGTTGGAAGGGAGTGTTCACAACTGATGAGCGCTGTTGGTAATAGCTGGACATATCGGCTCCCGACACTGTCAATGCCTGTTGATGACCCCATTAGCATTGCAAAACACTAATAGTCCCAGCCCGCTAGCACTTAACTTTATAGTACCAACCTTTATTTTGATCGATCGATTCGGGACGGCGTCGGTTTGTTGGTTGTCGAAGGCAATGTTCGTCTTTCGGTTGGCAGGATACGCTGTCTCTAACTCTATTGCATTCGTAGTCCGGGGTCCATCTTCGTTGGGTGTGTTATTTGTTGAGGGTGGCATCTGTCGCTCAGGACTAAGCCAGGGTCGTAACTCGGTGTGGTTTACGGCGGTTTTTAGGTGGTTCGTTGTGCAGAATCTCGTTGGTTGGACGTACAACTCTAACTTCAAGGTTAAATTTGTGGTCAGCCAAACATCCTTAAGTTGTGGGGAGGGGAATCACCTGGGACTGACAAGACTTCCAAGCCGACATCTCGTTGAAGTAGATCCCAGCTCCCAGATAACGCTGTCCCGTCGCCTTCACTAGACTGAGGTTGTGATTTTTCCCATGTGTATCTATATGTATGCGGCTCCGAGGTAGTCGGTCGCCGGGGACAGTAAGCGAAAGACTGCCTCTAGGAAGTTCACCAGAGCCGGTTAGCATCGGAGAAGGTACAGCGACCGTCGAGGGAAAAGTACTTACAGCAGGCCGGCAGCCTCCATTAAAGCGAGAATAGTCGCCACTTAGGCAATTGCTTTAAGCCACCAATCGCACCTCACACGGTAGTCTCTGACTTCCGGTGACACTTTCCGTGTGTTCCCCAAGCGCTTACTGCCCGGGTGTCGATCGTGGATGGAGCTTCACTTGAGGCAGACAAGTCCCATAGCGCTGAGGAGAAGAACCAGACTTGGTGATGTCTTAAACTGCACCCTCGTATGTCCAATTACTCTTTCTACCGCTAGAGATGTTGTTTCGGCAATGGTATGGAGGAGTATTGCATCGGTCGGCTCGTTCCCGGTAGGATCTTGTCAGATAGGATCTCGTCAGGTAGGATCTCGTCAGGTAGGATCTCGTCGGGTAGCTTGCTCGCTGTGTCGCTGTAGTAGACGTAGGCATTGGTCTTGGCAGGTTTCGGAGGGGTTTTGTTCGTATACGGGCATTCGCAGGCATCAATATGTTGATTAGATTCGTCTCTGAGTCGAAGCAGTAGACGGCTCGCGGCGAGATTCGGGGTTTGTCGAGGTCATGGCTACTTAAGGCATCGGCACAGAGCAAGACGAGTGTTAGCATGATGTCAATTGAGGTACATGCGTGCAAGCTGTGGCCCAAAGCCTCTGCCGGTTGTGAGCACTCACCTTGTCACTTCAATCCTGAGCATCAGACGCGGGGCTGGCGGGGTGAGGGATCGGCTGGGCGATTGTTCAATCCCAGTTGAATGGCTGGTGCGAGAAGGCAAATGCGACCGGAGACGACTGGTTGATCGAGGATACAAACGTGAGTTCCATGCTGCCCAGCAGCACTAGCCAGGGGAAGTGGATTGGCGAGCGAGAAACGCGAAGAGAGCACCGGGCAGTAGCATCGCGTGTGATGCGATGGTGTAAGACATGCGGTGTATCACTGTGTGAGGTGCTGGATGGTGTAAGGCTGCAGCCTTACCTGTCTGTGGCTTGAGAACCCGCAGAACTCCCGAGAAAAGCGCCTGACCATCGCATTCAAACGTCGATGATCAGAACCAATGCCACTCAATTGCATAGACGAAGCAGCATTGATGGGCACAGCTTCTGATCTAGACGCGGGCTAATTCTGGCGAGGGATGCTGATGAGCATCGGGAAGGAGCCGCCGCAAAGGTCGTTTGGCAAGTACCAGGCAAGTACCTTACGTACTTTCCCTCAGGTTGGCTCCATCTGCTCTGCCCAGGCGATGTTGCATGGGCAGTCTAAAGCTAACTGATGTCACAGATCATTGAAAGGCTCTGTTCTCTAATGCCAGTCAATCCACACGAAGCACAGCGCGCTATACCAAGCGATCAGGCTCCGACCCATCGACCGCTCCCCAATACGCAGCAGCTTTGGTTTTTGGCTTTCCAGTAAGCTACAGGTCTTTCTACAATTGCGTTCCCTCCGTTAAACCTTCGTTCTACGAGGTAAAATCCCAGGCTCGCCGAGAAACAGAGAAATGACATGCCGTTCGAGCTCCATCCTAGCTACCCACACTCGAGGGTCCCGTTCACGAACGACTGCGATCGATTTCGGCCGATACAATAACGAGATAAATATAAGTTCAATCCGCCAGGTTGCTTTATAATATAATTACATGGAGGGGAAAGGCTGAAAGGAAGGCTGATCATGTCGTTGCCCTTCCGCTGGCTCCAGCCTGCCGATGCCCTAGCTACGGCTCGCACTCTCCCCGTTGGCATTCTACAGAAAGCACCTGTATTCGCTCCATTCTCTGCGAATCTTTCGGAGATTTCGGTAGGATGGGTGCATCAGCCGGCAAGGTGCTGGAATCCAGAGCCAGGACTGCATGGGCTGGTCAATACTACGATTGGCAAAGCAAGCGAGAGAAACCGGCCGACTGGAGGGAGAGTTCATAGAACGCCATCTCGGCAATCATAAATTTTACAGAGACGATATCATACAAACTTGCTCCGGAATGTTTCTGTGTTGGACATACTTCAGGCCCAGGTCAGCATCAAAGGGGTTTTTGGTGTACCTTGTAGGAACCAAAGATAAGGACAACGTTACATTCGATCTAGGCGGCTATCACGTTAAGCTAGCTAAGGTAGTATCTTGAAAGCCTATTCATCCTCGTAAACGTTGTCGTGATCATACTCATAATAATAGCCATTGCCATCATCATCCCCATTATCCCAATAAATCTCAGCCTCCTCCTCACCATACAGACGCTCGTTATCACAACCATAGGTCATAGGCACATCTGACTGGCGGGCCACCTCCTCCAAAGCAGCGGCCTCATCAGCGTCACTTGCCTCCTCCTCAAGTACATCTGCTCGCCTGTCGTTCTCAGGATCATAATCGCTGCCCAAACCACCCTGCAGCTCAGCTTTGTCATACAGAGAGTCGGGCAGTGGGACATTCTTGGGCCCCTTCAGGATGCCGAACTGGCAGCACTCCCCGTCCGGGCCGTTCATCCCGTAGAAGCCGACAATCTCCTCAGTCGGACCTGGCTCTAAAACACTAGTCAGCAACTGGTTTCTTCCACGTGCAAGAGCAGCAGAAGGGGGGAGCAACTCGGCTCAGAAACTTACTCATCTCTAGTGTGACCTTTGAAGCGCCCTCATTCAGGGCACCAATGGCCTCTCCATTCGAAAGGTGTATCTTCATGCCAACAAAGCGGGTTGGTTGACTGTACGCCACGTCGACGCTGCAGATTCCCACCCCCTTCGGAATTGCAATCATATGAGCCGGGGCGTCTCGGTCACCGCGCTTTCCGCAGTGGACCTTGATCCCATCCTCGTAGTAAATGCCCACGCCCCGGAAAAGAGAGTCAACTCGCATATCAACCTTGTACGCTCGCACGATCTGACCCTGGTCGTCTCGCTTGTAGAACATGGCCGCCCACGGCCTGTCATACTTTGTCAACGGATGGCCGGCGTTGACCCTTCTAAGGTACAACGCCGTTCCGGGAACATTGACCGGCGCCTGGGCGGACACAACCTTCCACACCGGGAGATCCACGTGCTTTCCATTCATTGACAGCACCTTCAATCGCAGCGCCTCTTGCTGCTGATAATCATACCTCAGCGTCATGAAGCTGACGACGAGCTGCCGGAGCGGTTTTGACCTTGCCATGCGATGTATAGCGATGCCGTTGATGTACGCCGCCGCAATACCAGCCCTGCACTCGACAGCCAATTGCTCAATACCGGCTTGTCCTCGAACATAGACCGTCGGCGCGTGGCAGTCTCGCTCTTCATCAGACGGCTGTGCGAAGTGAGTCTGGCCTAGGAAGCTGAGCAGGTCTTCCAACGTCCACTCCCACTTGAAATTGTCATCAGTGGTCAGGAGGCCCTCGCCCTTCGTGGGTGGATGAGGAAGGAAGTGCTTGGACCAGTCTTGCCAGTGGCCTAGCTTCATGAAGGTGGCCTTGAGAGGGATGCCAAAGGCATGGCCAATCTTCTCGAAGAAAGATCCTTGGCTCATGGCGCACGACGCCCAGTTGGTTGTTCGGACATTGAACTCATTCCCTGTGATGTCTCCAAGGCAATTCGGAATCTCTTCAGAAAATCGTGGCCATGTGTACACGAGTTGAGAGCCAATCACGCCAATGGACATGGAGTTGGGATCGTGCTTGGCAAATGAAGTGTGGCCCGAAAGGATATCCGTGCTTGCGTCGTAGCTGGAGTCAAGAACCAAGCCAGCGACAACGGGCTTGGGGCCAAACAAACCCTGCTCGGCCTCCAGAGCCTTGTTGAATATCTCGAGCAGCTCGTTGTGACCCGGAGTGCCGTCTGCTCGGCGAATCTCAGCAACTGACTTGTCCGTTCTGAGAACGTGGACTTTGATCATCGTCCGATACAACGCCGAGCGGTGAGTATCATTCATGGACTCTAACCTGAGAGTGTCTATTCCGTCCTCTAGTTCCAGGCGGAACGAGCGACGCCCAAGACCGGCGGCATGCATTTCCTCGGCCAGCAGGGCCTGACACATGGCTGCCGCCATGCGCAGCTTTTTGATGGCAGCCTCCAAGGTTCCATGCTCTGCGACACTTCCCGCCTTACACGGCGGAAAGTCGATCCTCTCAGGCGAATCACGGGCGACAAGTATGGCGAGATGAAGTGGAGGCGTCTCCGCAACAGGCACGTATTTGACACAGATCTACAACTTGTCAGTTTTATCATCATCCCAGGCGCTGTAGTCCTTGGCTCGGCGGGACATGCTGCTACCTACCGTGGTCAAGCCAACGCTGAAGTTGCTTATGATGATGTCGTTCTTGCCGGGGCTCAGAATCACAAGGGCCTTGAAGTAGCCTCTGGACATGGGCCACTCCTGCTTGCGGCCTCCTCCTGTGCTACGCTCAATTTCAGCGCTCACAGAGACGAGGATGCTCGTATGGGCAATACGGCAATTATCGGAGAAGCCTTTGATGAGCAGGCTCATCTGGTGCACGATCTCGCCGTTCTTGACGTTCTCGATTGTAAACATTTCGAGAGATGTTGCGGTGCGTGGATCAGGCAGGGAGATAGATGACAATGTGCCGGCCCAATGGGTGCCAGGTATAATGTGAAGTTTTGTGATTAGCTTTGACGATACTGCTGGTGGTGACAGGAAGGAGGGACAGAATGAAAATATCGGTGGGACAAGACAATACCTACTTCTCTGGCAGCCCATCAAGGCTGAAAGCTGACAAACATGACGGTCCAATCCCATGCTCTGGTGTGAGACCTACATTGTGTGTCACACACATGAAATCACTAGAACGGGGGCTGGGCGGGGGGACCTCAAGCCTCTTTCCAGGCAAACCTGACTGGTCACAGAGAGCTGAACGCGGTTGTGAATGTTTGCTTTTGCCAGGTGGCGGCGGTGATCTCCGAGGGTGTAGCTCGCCTAAAGGCCGATACATGGGACCGATCAGTGTGCGTGAATACTGTGCATAATAAAAATGTGCCATTCCAGCAGTTATAATGAGTGCTTCTTTTATTAATTAGTTTGAGAGTTGCCTCGCGATGTAAACATACAAAGCCCCAAACGGGACCCAAAAGTACCTAGGGAAACGCCCCAAGCGGCGTCCAAAAAAATAGGGAATAGGAGGAGGTGCGCCAAAAGGACAATAGGAAGGTAGGTAGGTAGTCTAGCGAACCGAGGGCAGTGCAAGTCGTAGAGCCAGCAATCAAACTCAGTCTACATTTTCTTTGCGGAGGAAAATAGGGCCACCGCTTTCAAATCGCAGCTCGGTCTCGTCCTGCATAGCCAGGAACCATAAACCAATGCAGTCCTCAATGTCATCCACAATCTGGAATGAAAAGACAACCTTGGGCTCCCCTTCGACTTGGCTCACAAATTCAGGCCGTTTGTCTAGCTCGAAGACGGCCAGGGTCAGCGTATCGCTACCCTCGGGATTTTCTGGGGCTCGGAAAGTTTTGCCTCGATCGGTGTGCAGCTATTGCCCAAGTATTAATTAATCGCCAGCTTCAGGAGACCGAAGGCTTCAAGATCAAAACTTACCTCCAACGAAATAATCCTCCGATCTTCCTCTTTAACAGCCAGAACGGCAATTTTCTCACCCTCGTCAAGAGACAGGCTGTAAACTTCGTCTGAGACCGATCCCAGGCGAGTCGTAACCCCGAGATCATACACAAATTCAATACCCACGAGAGCTCTCCCTACAAAGTATACGTGAATATGGAGGAGCTCAACCCACTGACCGTCAGGGGACTTTTCCTTCTAGAAGAATGTCTCCCTCAAGGCAAGTCGCCTCAGAGCGGGGTTAGTCAGTCTTTGTGTTTCAGCTCCACCAACTTGACGGTAAACACGAGAGGTCTTGGTCGAAAGATCGCGTGGTCGGCGCAGCCGTGGGAGGTCATACAAAGCGAGACAGGTGGTTGCATATGGAAGCAGTGCCTGATGAACAACCTGGACCTCGTCGAGGTCCGAACCGAAAGCCCACATCATGTCTCTCTAGGATTATATTAGCAACGCTTGCCTCGTTCTTTCAAATGTGATGCAGCCTTACCAACTCCTCGTAGGGAGTCGCGCGCCAGTGCATTGAGATGCACTGGTGCTGAGATGGAATTTCAAACTTGCGATTCCGGCCAGAAGATGTAATGAACTCAATTCCGACGACTTTTCCAAATTTTTCCATTCTCAGCGGCGTTTGGCTTTCCAGAGTTGACCACACTTCAATGTGCGTCAAGTACTCGCCCGATGCAAGGTCAAAGGATCCCACCTCATGAATCCACTGGCCAAGAACAACATCCTCACCTTGATAATATTCAATCCAAAGTCCGCTAATGTTTTTGGTAGACCTGGAACGCCCCGGAAGACCGGAAGAGACCCGAATGCGCTTGATCCAGCGCAAGGAAGCGCCTCCAGAACAGCTACCACCCGATCCAAGCATCCAGTAAGCTGAAAAGAGGATCCATTCTCTGTTCGCTTCTAACGTATTGCCATTTCGGCCGAGAGATTCTTCATCTTCGACTGGAATTGTACAGTGGAGCGTTTCAGTACCATTCAGGACATGAAGACTTTCCCAAGGAGTGTGAGGCGGCTATTGTAGTCAGCAAAGGTGGCTTGAGCACAACATAGCAACACATTTTAGGAAGAACATTGGGTGGAATAATACGCACTTCACAAGTAGCAACTATGGCTATCGGGAGCTTGTCATCCGACGCACATATACTCATGGAGGAAAGACTTCCCGGAGGTCGGGAAACGCCGCCGTGTACTTGAAAGTTCATAGAACGGTTGCTACTGGTAGAGATCTAGAACAAAAAGAAATATTAGACAATACTGAAGGTATGGGGGCGTCTGAAGATAGGACTATTCATTCGCTTCACTTGCCTCGATGGAAAAAATGATGCTCTTCCGGTATGTCGAGCTCCGTGTACGGCGTACCTCAAAGGAAGTTATGCGTTCACCACCTTTTCCGTCAACGGTAAATGTAGGTTCCAAACAGGGACAATACGTCCCATTTTCCTCCTCGAGAACGGAATCCTTCCCAATGAATATGTCTTCGCTATTGTCATAGCCAAAGCGAAAGCCGTGGAAACCCGTGCGAGAAAACACATAAGCTGTGATGCGATTCAATGACGACAGCTTCTGCCCGTTGTCACCACCAAACGCCATATGTAAGCGGAGAGGGAAACCGCACGGGTATTCATAGACGCCAAGCAGAGGAGGCTGCAGTTGTGCTTTCTTCTCCAAAGGCAAAGCTACTGGATTCCAAAGCAGGTGCGTGCTAAGGGCCTTCGGAAGAGAGCCAACACCGTCTTCAACTATCTTGATCGCCACCGCCTTGAACTCCTACCAAACAGCCAAAGTTAGTCAACATGTCAATAATTTCCAAGGCAAGGCATACTAACATCGAAATCAATCACCATGCCTGTCGCGTTCTTTCTCGGCCGTAGCACTGTCTTGCCGAACGAGCCATCAAGGCAGCTCGTGACTCCCACGGCCACTGAAGCCGCCTCACCGCAGTTGTCAAGGTGGAATACTAGGCCATGGATTCCCAGATCCGAAGCTGTGACTTCGACAGAAACAATCTTTTCGGCTGACTGTATCTCGATGTGCTCTTCCGTTGACGGAATGATTGTCCCAATGCTAACGGGGCCAGAAGCTTGGCCGGAATGATCTAGACAGTAGGATCTGAAACCTGAGATGAACACCTTGCTGTTAAAGTGTACAAGAGAAACCGATAATTTTAGCGATACAGTAGGGGTCGGCACAACAAGGTTGATTTGCATCCTCGCGATTGGCTGCACACCACGTCTTAGTTGAGGCTCACGGAAGTCCGAGTCAATCAAGAGAGGGCATGAGAAGGAGCATCGGGTAGGTTTGTTTGGAGTCAAATCTTGGACAGAACTTTGGAACTCTTCGCTGTCCGTAAGAAGACGTGTATCTGGATGAAGCAGCTGTTCAGTCGTGAGGGCGAAATCTTCCACGCAAAGGTACATGCGCTGCCGATTTCGGATCCCTTGAAGTTCTTCATCACTGCTTAGAGCTTCAGTATACTGTTTGTATAGGAGCCTCCAATCCTTCTTGGTGTCTGATCTCTGGGGCTCCTCGTGGGCGAAAACAAAGCCAAGCTCATGAGGTGGCGCAAATCTGGTCGCCCAGAATTTCTGAGGTAACAACTTGGGAGTAGAAATCGACGCGACGGTGCGACAAGCCAGTCGAAAATTAGCGAAGTCCTTGGAAGATAGATTTCCGAGAATTTGGCAGATGATTTCCTGAGGAATTCGGTCAAAGACATTTTCTAGGGAATCACGTTTGACCAAATCCAGATCTGAACGGGATGCTTCGCCGCTCTGGACACTATTGTCAGGGGGAGGCAGCACTCCGGTTGGAGCCACAAGCAAAAGTGGAAGCTCGTCTTCGTCCTTTCTCATGTTTGTCGCTCCATGATAGTGGTTATCGGGCACCAGACAATGGAAGCTAGCCCTGGGCAAGCTGTCAAACTGCCAAAACAGCGCCTCGGCAAGCCTGGCATCTTCCGACTCGGCGGGCAGGTTGCATCTGACACGGAACTTGAATAGTCTCCAGCAGCTTTCATGCACTCCGTAGGCCTGAGGCCGAAAGGTGTCAGGGTCGTGAAAGAGTGAGATTTCTTCAACCTCATCCAGGTCCTCGTCCACCAAGGGCGGAAAGTTGGCGTTGGGACCTACGTCTCCATTGTGGTTCACCGAGATGTGAAATTCATGTGCGTAGCCAACCGGAGACAGCGTAACATGGCGACGGCTCTCGTCAACGCAGACTTTGCTTGGTTAGATATTGCAGATGACCACTCGACAACAATGGACGTCTTACCTGCTCGAGCCTTGCGGTGCCCTGGCACCGGATTGAATACCGGCTGCACATCATACCTCTCGAAGGGGCCCCCGCAACAGGCACAGAAAGGACCGACCGACATGACAGCAGATGTTTGCACTCTGGGTCGAGATACAACAAAATGCCAAAAGGAGTTGAAGATACAACAAAATACAAGGGGAGTTGAAGGTAAAACAAGATTCCAAAGTGCGAGATACCTTGGGGATGTGTGGGAGATGGACAAGTTTGTTGAAAACACGGACTTGCATGCTGAGTTTCCTCTGAGCACCGACTTTGCCTCAGGCCAACACACATCCAAGTGGAAGGCGCCGCCCTCAGGTTCACATGCTGCTTTACATGCGAGGCAGGCACGAAGCGCAGGAGAGCAAGCCACCGGAGGCCCTTGGAGGAAACCAGGCAGGCACCTACCTGCTTCAGTAGGTAGCTGTCTTCTCGGTCCCCAAGAAGGAAGCTTGGGATTACCAGCAGACTGACATCGCAGTGTGCCGCTGTGAGCACTCAATTCTCCTGAACCCAGTGCTTCCAGCAGTCTATCAATTTCTATTCAATTGGCATTCTCCTCCTTGGCTTCCAAATAATCAAGTCACTAGAAGTCTACACTGCGCTGGAGAGTCGTGTTACAGATTAGAGGAGACTCGGTCAACATGTGGGTAAAGAACGAATGATACAATGTTCCGAGCATTGGCAACTGCCGCCTTCGCTTCATGATGCAAGCCACTCGGCTAATTAGGCACCTGCAGGTGCACATTAGGAGAAAGAGATTCGTGCCATGGAGGTTCGTAGGTTGGCCATTACTGGAGCGAATTTCCAGTCAACATTATGCCAGTCTCATGTAGCCCAGAGTTCTATGCATTGTAGTAACTTCCGGTTTTTTCGTCAAAAATTCAGTGCTCTAAAATCATCTTCTTGACATATCTGAGTCTTTCTAGCCTCATAGTCATTTCGTCTAACGTCAAATATCCTCCATCGCAGCTGAGAGCGCCGTTTGTACTGCCAGAGCTCGCACTCGCGAGTGCTCCTTCCCCCAGAGAAGTTCGCCCATCAGGGTTCTCCGTGGCGGGTCCAGTCCCATAATGATAGGTACCTGAAAGAAAGCAGCCGAGAATTGGCCTCATGATCGGAGCGTACCTTCCTCTGAGCTTCAGATGGCTGGTTGATGAAGGTCCGCAGCCTTGCCAGACAGCTACTCCCAGGGGTCGGGCGACCACAGCCAGCAAGGCAAAACATGCTAATATTGGACTGTAACGATTTTGCATCCTCGAGACGGAAGACCACGGTGGTTTCAAGGGTTTTCGGGTCAACGAGAATGTGGCGAGGGCGAAGGTCGTCACAAGAAGGGCCAATGTCGTAGACGCATTGCTTCAGAACGACCCAAGCAAGTCGATTTCAATCTACTAAGTGCGCCTTAGCAATCGCTCATTCATCTGCCAGATTATTTAGAATCAAAAGATGGCCTGAATTCTCGCATGCGGCAAGCTTGGAGCATTGACAGATCGAAGATTGGGAGAGGTTTGTATGTTAATAGATCAGCTGGCTACCCTACGGCTATCGCCAACTCGTTCAGGTTCTACATCGACAGATTGTCTAGAGACTTGCAATATTCCATCATCCGTGAAGATTTGAAACTATTCAATTGAGAGATAGTATTAATTAATTAAGACAACTGAAATATTGGACTTGATTAACACTGAGCTTTCTTTCTTGAAATCATGACCACTCCCCCGTGGTTTCTGCAAAACCAACAACACGAACTTCCACCTATCACATGCAAATATCCTTAAAAACCACCAGCTCAGCCCTAGCGTCGAAAACTCTACTTGAATAGGCTCTACATTGACAATCACCTACCGCCTCACTTTTTCAATTGAAGCAGATCGTGAACGTATACTACTATACTGATCATGCCTTCGGGGCTTTACATAACCTCCCCCGACATGTTGCTTACCCTACATAATGCCTATGACGACAAGTCCGCGGCGACATCTCGGTGGATGTCGCCACTAACACGACAAACGGTCCACCTGCGCCCACCTGTGGGAGCGACGATCAGTGTCTAGCATCTGCCTCACAAACCATGCTCTCATACCGTTAGAGCCAACGTAACTCCCCCTCTCTCTCTCTCTCTTCGCGAGCGACGGGAAGTACCGAGAGGTTTCGCTGTCCTGTCATCTCGACAAAGACCGCCCTATTCCCAGGCCCTTCGCCGCCCGCCGTCCAACGCAACCCATGCCCCCCCTCGCTCGGGGCAGGGTAGCCTTCGCGTCGGGGGTTTTGGCGAACCTGACCAGGCAGGCAGCGCCCGTTCTCAGGCATATCGCCCGAGGGAGGAGATCTCGGTACTTGCGACCGCCTCTCGGATTCGCATGGAACTCGCGAATTGAGGAGAAGGGAAAACAAAGGATACATACATGGAAATTAATTAGAGAGACCGGATTGCTGGGCTTCCCTTCCAGGCGGGAAATGCGTTCAGGGTCAGGGCCTTGAGAATCATGGCAAGTCCCCGAGATGAGACGAGCTGTGCCCATGGCCCGGCACCAGCCTTGCGGGAAGAAGAGGGGGGGAGAGGGGAGAAGCTCGGGGCACAATGCAGTCCAAAATCCTGCCCCCAAGTAGAGTGAGCGCCAGCCAGGCATTCGTGCGTTTGCTAGCTCCAGTGCGCGAGCCAGTTGTGCAGCAGGCCCGCGGAGCCCTTCCGGCCACCATTTCCCAAGGGAGGTAAGGTTTTGGGTCGAAACCTGAGCCGGGGGTGCGACCAAACCAACCTGGGGGGAAGGGAGCTCCCCTTTTGCGATGGCCGCCAAGTTCGAACCCACCCTGCCTGCTGCTACCGTTTATCCGGTCAGGCCTGCCCAACACCCCTAGCTCGCTTCTTGGCTCTCTGCTTTCGCGTCGTCGTCTCCTCTCAATTTGGGGCTGGGAGGGGGGCAGAGGGTACGATAATGAGGCCACCTTGAGGTAGCATTATGCGCTGGTGGTCGAGAGGCGGTTACATTGGAGGTGAACTGGCATTGTCGCATCTGATGCCAGAGCGCAAATGGCCACCGGACGGCTCGGTGGCTACCGTGTGATTTCCCCATGGCAGTCTCACGATGCCCACATGACCGAATATTTCCAATCAAAAACAACCTCTCATCTCCCCCTCATAAGCCCTTAAACGGGCGGCGCACCCGGGGGCCGGAACCGCCTCCCACCCTCCCTGGAGAAGTTGGCGGCTGGGAACACGTCGAGCCAGGCTGCATCCATGATCCCTCGTTGCAACCCTTAATTATAGAATTTCCAATATCACCGTCCCCTCCCCACGGATGGACGCTGACCTGGTACGTTTTCTCGCCCCTCGGTCGCATCGCAGAGCGCCCATCGTATTATGGGGAAGCGTGGCAGCGGCCCAGTCGCGGAGCATCCGAGGTTAGGCTCGAGTTGCAGATGCAGTGCATACAGAGAGCATCGGGGCATTTCTTTCTCCCCAATCGTTCAAAAGGAGGTCCAAGGCCGCGCACGCACTGCCCAATTTAACTCGCTTCCTTGGCCCTGGCTGGGGCTGATTGGAGAGGAGAGGCCAGTCAGGCGGCGGGTTGCGGTGCCCAGCCGGTTCTGTCATGGTCGCTCAGGGTCGTAAGGGGGGAGGAGAAGTGTGGGGGAAGACCACATCAGAGCTGCGACACGCTACAGCAGACTAATTGGCACGTCGTTGCGGCCCGCGGTGTTAGCTGGCACAGTGGCATTGGCACCGCACCAGCAGGCCAGCGACGGCGCCCTCCATCACAGTGCATTGACTCGCGCTGCATGAGGGTGCTGCCAAGTAACCTTGCTGGCCGTTCGAGGTGGAATGATTGAAACCTCTGAGAAGAACGAACGGAACGCTCGCACGCAAAGCGGATAGGCCTCTACGGAGCGGGCTGCAAGTCGATTCGTCTGCTTCAAGTGGTCCGACCCCACGGAAGATCGTCCCACTGTAACTGTACAGTTCACATCATGCGTCACAGCGGAGAAGAACAGCATCAATTTTTTTTTAAAACTCACAAAGAAAACTGACAGACTTGCCCAAGCGACCCTCCCCTACCCCCCCGTCCGTGTGTGTGCCAGCCGTCGTGAGATGCACTACTACCGAAGGGCCTAAAGACCGCTCCTGGTTGTTAGTGTTGTCATACAGGCCTCGTACCTTTTGATTTTCCAATTTGCCCGCTTATTCCCTGTTAACGCCCGCCTCGTGATCCAACCCAACCCGGCTCAGACCAGGCAAAGTCCTGATTCATGCTCAAAGCAGCTGAATCCCCGCCCCCAGGTTCGTGATGGGGGAACAACGCCCGTCTGCCCTTGTATGCCTGTCCAATCCAATCCAATCCGGCCCAACTCCTGATTCATACTCAAGATAGATGAATCCACACTCTAGGTACATGGGGAGCAAACGCCCTGTCCATCCAAAGATAGAAGGGAATAGAGACGTTCTGAACGTCCCATCCACCATCCATCAATGGAAATACATGAAAAAAGTAGAACAAGCCGTCAGACCTTAGCTAAAGAAAGAAACAATTGCGAAATGACCACAAGGAAAAAAAACAGGAAAGCAACACTGTCGTAAAGTCAGCGACCGCACAGGTCACAAAGAGTCAGAGCACCGGCAATGACCTCAGATTGTTCCTCTGGGGTGCCATCCAGCTCAAGTTCCATGGTGGCTGCGCCGTGGACAGCTAGGACAGGTGCATACCCGAAGAGCCGCTGATGGGCAGCGCCAAGTGTGGTGGCTATCTTCTCCGCTTGGGCTATGTTGGGACCCGTGAAATGAGAATACATCCAGACGAGATCGCGCATGTACTTCGGGTTTATGGCTCTAGGCTCGGCTAGCTCCAGGACGAGTTCAAGAAGCGCATGGGATCCGTAGATGGCCGCATGGCAGGCATAGCCCAGTGCAGATGGGTCCATATGACCGATGGGGAAGCCCATCTGGACGAACGTGGTGAAGATTTCGGCCTGGGCCGCGACAGACTTATCAGTCACGACCCTGTTCTTCCACCTCATTGAACAGTACCTCCATAGCATTATCCGGTCCATTTCGGGATTCAAGGTCGCCTTGGCACCCGCCGATATGAGCAGTCTCACACAATCGATGCTTCTGGCGCCCACGGCGGCATAAACCAGGAGCGGGTCATCGAACCTGGGCAGCTCGGTGTTGTATGGGTTGTCAAGACCGACCCCGCGTCCATTAACGTCAATGCCAAAGTCGATGAGATATGACAACACCTCAGCTTGACCTCGGCGTGGTTTGTCCAGTATGCCCTGCATCAGCGTGTAGCCCTTAGTGTCGCAGAGGACTGTGTTGTCAACAATCTCGGCCGTAATCTGCATGCCAGCCTCTAGTAGGACATGCGCTTGCTCCAAGTTCTTCATTTTGAGACAGTGAAGCAACACATCAGGCTTCACGATCCCGTCGGGGTAGAGCGGCGCCCCGGCAGAGAGCAGGTACCGAACCACCTCGGCGGACTCCTCTCGGCGCTCTGGTCTATCACAGGCTAGGCGGATAACGGACTCGTCGCCGAGACCAATGGCTTTGATGTCTACGTCGGCTTGCTCTGCAAGCAACTTGACCATGCCAAGGTTACCACTGCTGGCAGCCAGGTGTAGACAATTTAGACCGTACCAGTCCAGCTCATGGCCGTCGATGGCAGGGTGGCGGAGTAGCATTTCGACCACGGGCACCACGCCATACTGAACAGCTTGCAGAAAGGCTGTGCGCCCGAAGCCGTCTACGGCAGACACATCGATGTCCGGGTGCTGGCAGAGAAACTCTACAGTGGCTACCGCATCCTCAACACTGGCTTGATGGGGTCCGGACGAGCCGACAGCCAGGTGGAGGGCATTCTCTTGGGCCGTATTGGCGGCCCTGGCAAGACTGACGCCGGGCCTGTCGAGAAGGTGGATCAAAAGTGGCAGATCCTTGGTCGCCGCAGCAAAGAGGAGCTGGGCATCTTGCGACACCGGGTCAGTCCTATCCAGCAGGTACTTCCGGACGAGGTCGATGTAGCCGCTTCTATAGAGACCGAATATTGCCGAAATATTTTTGGCGACGAGGTATGCTCCGTGCTCCACAAGGCGGCGGGCATCTTGAGACTTGCCGTGGACAATGGCCGTATGCAGAGGATACACTGGCTCCAGAGTGTTTGTAGACATGTGATGCCACAACTTCCAGTCTACATTGCATTTTACACAGAGCGTAGGACTGGAGGGTGCATGTACGTTGACTCCCTTTTCCAGGAGGAATGCGACCACATGGCTGTGCCCATGGTGGACGGCGCAGTGGAGGGGGTTGACTTCAATGGCATCGTTGGCCCTCTCATTCTGTTGGTTGAGGTCGAAACCGTACTGCCAGGCTTTCTGCATCGTCGCGAGGTTGCCAAATTCGGCAGCCCATCTCACACATGATTGGAGGGGCCCGTCATACTTCCTATTGCGCTTGTACAGCTCCGGTTCAAGAAGGCGGTGGAAACGAGTGTTCACGCGGGCTAGCGTTGCATGATGTCGTGCGTAGGCAGCCGGGTGCTCCCAGGAAGAGGGCACCTCATCCCAGGTGGACACCTCGGCGATGTGGATAATGATTTCAGGGGGCACCCTGTCGAATATGCTCCCGTGAGTGGGAGCATTATCTTCCTCGCCGTTTTGGACAATTTCCATCTCCACAACCTCATCATCTACCTCCACACATGTGTGACTCTGTTGCAGCATCGTTGCCTGCGTCTGCGCCATCTTATGCAGGTCTCGTCAGAGCAGAGTGCTCCTGAAATTACGATGAGAAGGGAATCGGGGTGGGAGACCTTCGACGCTACGTAGCATGATCGTCAGCTCAAGCTCCATGATTTCAACAGTTAGACAGGGGCCAAACAAGAAACAGGTGGGAACTGACCGCCGAGTAGCTCAGCAAGAGCGCAATTGGGGATGTGTGTGTGTGTGTGTGACTGTTCGTGTGATGTATGTGTGCTCGTCACGTCTGGTTCGCTCCTCTCCAGGCTGCGGCCCCACCGTTCCCGAGAGCGATGCGACTGTAATTGCCAATTCTACGTGAAGACTGTTAGCTTGAGGGCACTAGACACTGGCGGCTTTGGAGATGGGATGATGGCCATACGTGACAGGGGGCGTAGATCGCAGAAAGGTGTTAGCTTCTAGCCCTAGGCCGGATTATTGCACTTGGCCAACTTAGCAGATGCTGTTGGCTGGTCTCATCAGCAGCCCAACAGGGCCTGGTCAGGGTGCTTCACAGGGTGCCGGTGTGTACCCCTGGCGTGTGTTGACGGTGAATGGCTGGCTAGGGCCAGTTAGAGGCACGAGAGAGCCGACGCAGGTACGGATTATCGACTCACAAGCTGTGATTCTGGCTCCTGAGACTGCGGCGAACTAGCTCACCCCGTCTAGGGCGGGAGGAGTATGTGCAAGATTAGGTTTGGCCAAAGGTCGGTTGGTTCCAACAACCGCTAGAAAGGGACAGGATAGGCTAGGTGGTAAAGGAGGAGGAGAAGATGGATGGGCATCAGATCAGGGTAGAGTGCACCAAGCAGGGGGAGGACGGGGGTAATAAGGTAGGATGTTATGCAGCACCAAGGGTATCTCCCCGCGGGTCGGAACAATCACTCTCCGTGAAGTAAGCCTCTGGGCTCGGGAAAGTTGCCAACTGGGGGGAGGAGAAAAGAAGGACGAGTTCAGGTCGGTCAAGGAGCATGAGGAGACAAGACGAGGGAGCACGGAGAATGTGCAGTTCCAGGCTGCAGCCACCCTCCTCCTTGTCCGAGTCGACGACGTAGGGATCCATCGGACCTCCCGGACACGACCTACCTGAGCGATGTACATACATGCATGTACCACAAGAATTGAGAACTCACATTCGAGCATTATCGTAGCTTAGAATCCATCGCGGACCGCACCTTGGCGACCAGTGGAGGAGGTGTAGGACCCGCCTTGGCGTGGTCAGCACCAGCCGTTGCTGCTACTGGCCCCGTTTGCTCGTGACGGATGGCGTTTCTAAAGGCCTCATGCTGCAGCTCGTGCAGCCATCAATGGAGGGCGCGTACTACTGCAGCCATTGATGCTAGCCGGTAGTGTCGGTGGAGGCTGTCAATAATTGTCGGTGTCGAGCCTTGTTGCGAGGGTGGTAAGTCCATCTTTCCGTCGCTTATTTGTCTCTGCCCGCCTCTGGCCAATCACCCGCAACCCAAATCAATCGCCCGCCCACCACCTTGACTCCTCACAAGACAACCCTGCACTCCCACCGATTTCCTTCACCTCTGTCATACCCAACTGGGCTGGAGGTCCCTGCCACCTGAGCTGCGATAGGCAAGGAGAGGCACGTACTCTGTGGCACTCGTCTGTACCATGTAAATAATGCTGGGCACCGACCGCTCGTGTGTGATTTGGTTATTACGCACACCACTCGATGAGTCAAGGCAGCTTCCGGTGGCTTGCGCTCAGGGCGCTTTATTGCAGTGGTACGGAGTACAGGCGACGGCCTTTCTGACATGTCACCTCAAGGTGCACAGGTCAGCAGTTGACAATGCTACGGAGACATTAACCATGCCACGCCTGGGTGTAGACATACCCCGGCTCTGCTCCTCTCATGTGGGGAATTCCGGGACGCGGAGGCCATCTCATACCCGAAGGTAGCTATCTGAGACGCTTTGGGAGGAACATCATGCTCTTGCCTGGCTTATGATTTGTCGATAATGGCACTTTCAGGCGCGTCGAAAAAGGCGGTATCCCTACACAGTGCACTTGTCTAAGTCGTGATCGAGAAAAATACTTCGAGCACTTTGGAAATCGGCTTGCAGGCGGGGTTGTCTTGGATGATGGTCAAGGGCTTGGCTGCGTATATCGAGGTCGCCCTCAGGTAGACATTCGACGGCAGCTTGGGGGACAGGTTCTTGCTCTGGTACTTGCTCTGATACTTGTTTTGCCTGCGTCCTAGACCCCATGATGGCAAATCCAGGCGTCATGGACGCATTGAAGACCGTACACAGTACAGCCGACGCGGGTTGGGAACATATCTTTGTGCACACCATTCCAGACTGGCCAGGCCATTCCACCTTACACAACCTAGCATTGCCTGAGTCCTGAAAAAGAAAGGAGAAACCCGAAAAGAAAGGAGAAGAGGGGAAGAAAGGGCTGTGTAGATGTTCCTCCGAGCCCAGACCAGGTCTTCCCATGTAGTGACCTTCGTCGGAGCCAAAACGAAACCTGAAAACCCCCCCAAAATGATGTCGATAGTACAGCCGATGTGACATGGCCAATGTCCTCCATCTGTTACTGAGTAGATAAACAAAAAAGCCATCTTAAGCCTACTATCCTTCCAATCCACGACCAGAGCCCTGAAGTTGTTTGCGTCAAAGGAGGCCAAGGAGGCGATGCTCAGCCGCCCACCTCTGCCACGGCATTTTCGTAAGACGGCACCGCTCGATTCTGCACATGGTTGCTGCGGAGTAGGCCTAGTACGCTACTGCCGCGACGATCGATCGCATGAAGCCGCGCGGAGCTGACCGGTGTGTTCTCGTTAAAGCCGGCCATGCCTGCAGGCGCCCGGTCAAGAAGCTTGGTCGTGGCGGTATCTACCGTTGAGGAAGGGGTTTCCAAACGAGGGGGACGACTCTCTTCACGGCGATCGCCCGGTGGTATTTTCCTGAAAAGAAAAAGTGGCTGGCTGATGCAACGGGCGTTGGAGTAACAGGAATTCCAGCCCAATGCTACTGAGCATGCTCGTGGGTGTCGGTTGATACGTAGTCGTGTTGACGAAGAAGCACCCTTCGGTCAAGCAAAGGCTCGGCACTGATTGAGACAAGGCCCCCTGGCCTCCGTGGCTCCGGAATTAGATAGGCCATAAATAGCGGTCGCGATTCGCCGTTCATAGATGCACATTCCATACATCGTATGCATCTGGATGCCATGAAGGAACTGCATCCCTCAAATCTGCCAGGAGAGTAGTACGTAAGACAGCCCAGAGGTTTGCGTGCTGCCTAAGCGCTGATCATCTTCCGTCTTTGGGCCCCACCGGAAGCCGTTCCCCATCCCCCACCAATCACTGTGAAACATTACAGGTGCCATTGATGCTGGCTACCACCATGGACGGACTGCTCCATCAGCCAGGCAGGGCAACCAGAGTTGGTCTCAGTAGGTGCTGGATAGGAGAACCCGGTTTGGTTGCCACACCCCGTCTCAGTCGAATGAAACACTGCCACCGCCGCGCTTCATGTATGTCTCTGTTGCAGCCATGCCATAATCAAACTAATCCAGCACGCCTGCCAGCAAAGGTCACCCGGAATCTGCGGGCGCCTATCTGCGAGTTGCGTACCTAGGTAGGCATGCATGTACGGAGCAGTACATCGGTGGTTGACCGCTGCGTAATGTGCTGAGAAGGACCACGAGCCCTGCCGACTGGGGGACCTAGGATCGGAGGGTTTAGCAACTCGCTAGCCAGCCCAAACCCAACCGAGAGTCCAGGGGCAACCGTTAGGCCTGCCTGCGTGCTTAGGCGCTCTGGATGACCGAACCCCTCCTGCACTGAAGTCTAGGGATGCTGGCTGGCCACTCCACCGTATCAGAGATCTGCTTACCCGCCCCGACCGGCTGCGCCCGCGGGCATCCACCACCCCCTCCCCCTTCATCAGAGTTCCAGCCTGATGAGATTGCTAAGTCTGCACGCCCCCAGGTTTTTCCAACCGCTGGCATGCAGGATGACAGGCAAATGCCTTCATCACCGCCATGCTATTTTGCATACCTATCACATCGCATGAGAGTCTAGACGCCGATCGGGCATAAAGGGAGGAGCACAAGGTCTCGATGAAACATTGAGGCTGGCGCCTTTCTGTAAAAGGTGACGAAGCGAGTTTAGTTGGAAAAGAAGGAAGCATGCAGGCTGCTCAGCTCGCCCGTGGCTGCTGATCGGATGATCTCTCTCGTATCTTTCTGCATTTTCCCATGTCTGCCTACAGCACAGTAGCATCTCATGATGTCGACATGACCATACTGTAGTCGAAGGCCCATCTCGCTGGTCACTTCTTTGTTTCTGGATCTTATCTGAAAGCGCTAGCTCCTTCGGCAGTGCGTATCATCTCTAGTGAGCTCCTCAGCTCGATCGGAGGAGTCGTGGTGGTGGGATGGATTCATTAGTCTCTGGTCGACCACACCCACTCTTTCTTCCCTGACCAATAACGTCCATCCTTAGTGTGTGTCTTGTGTGCTTGCGTGCGTGTGCCTCCTCCTTCTGCGGGCGCCCCCGCTCCGTTGTGCAACCCGAGTTAGGCTCCATCGCCCTGGTATCATGAGAGGGAAGTACTTATTTTTACACAAGAACGGCTCCTTGCATTAGGTGGGAAACATGGGGGGCGATACCGAGGGTTGATTTCGATTCGATTGTCCACCCTTGCGAAAGATAGCTTGCATCCAACAGCCGCAGCAAGTCCAAGATGAGGTGGCGATATTGGCTCCGGCTTGGGCCAGAGCAGGTTGCTGCATAATTATGTTGTAGCGACGAAAAGGAGAGGGAACCAACATAAAACATGCAGGACCATTTGAATCCGGCTCTAAGATGGCCCCATCCATGTACACACGACATGCTGCAGGTCATTTGAAGGGGAGAAGCTACCCTGCGTTGGGCACATCCGCGTAGCTTACACGCAAACACTTGGGCCAGGTGAAAACCCGGTTCGACAGCCGGACGCACTTGGCGATGAGGGGCGCGTTATGGCGGCGGCACAGACGAAACTAGC